CTGTTGTGGACGTGAGAGATCATTTAGCCCATGTGGGAGCGGTGGGCCTCAGTGAACCATCACCAATGCCCACCTGCGGGGCTAACGCCAAGGACAGTCTCACGTCTGTGCTGTAGGACAAGGAAGTCATGCCCAGCTCTCGGGAGGCGCGATTGTTTTCTGGGAGCTACGCGCAGAGTCAGCTGCCAGGGCCAGGCTGCCTTCCTGCCACGCTTCCTGACGTGCTCATCATGTATTCGGTTACCAGGACAGGGGACCCTGGGGAATACTAGGCAGTGATAAAAAGTACAGATTCCTGATACATGCGATGTCCTTGGGTGGATGTCAGGGGCATCGTGCTGAGTGAATACAGCCACCTAGTGTGTGTTTCCATTTATATGACATTCTCAAAATGCCAAAATGCCAGGGGTTGGGGATGGTGTGTGTGTGGGGGGGGGAAGGGAAGGAGAGACTATGAAAGGGCAGCGTGAGAATCATGTGTGACGAAACGGTGAATGTGGCAGTCAAACGCGCATCGTAAAGCGAACTAGACACACGCACTACACCAGCGTCATTTTCCTGGGTTTGATGTTGTGCTGGACAGTCCATTGGGGGCACCCAGGTGCAGGATACACGGGACCTCTGTGTTATCTTTGCAGCTTCCTGTGAATCTGCAGGGAGATGTAAAAACAAAATGTAAATGAACACCGCCAAACCAAAAGGAGATGGGAGTCATGAGACCATCACTCGGTGAGATGCATCCTTATAGTGAGATATCCTTGGGGCCTGTGGGATTTTCCCAAGCCCTCCTGGGTGCAATGTGGGATGTCCCATCACACGGAATAGTGGTACCACCGTGCTCCGATACACGGATGTAGTGAGGGGTGTGTGCGATGTCCCGGTCTTGTCACACAGAACATCAGCTCAGAGGACTCTCGTTTAGAGTTGAGGAAACGGGTCCAGAGTGGAGAGGAGCCAATGCCACTCAAGCAGCCAGTGCAGCCACAGACCCGCAGGTGAGACCTGGTGCCCAGCCCAGGGCCCCTCTGTGACACCACCCGCCTCCTCTCTGTCCAGTGATTCGTCCCCGAGGTTTGAGATGGCATTAAGATTCTGAAGTCCTCCGAAAGAGTTAACTCTAGGATGCAGCATCTGAAGAGCATATCAGTGATATCAGGCGTCTCTTTTAATTGCCTATTCACGCCGACAGATTGTCTTTTCACAGTCAGAGCTAAACTTGGAGACGTGTCCTCTTTCGGGGCACTTGTGATCGGACGGCCTCATCAGCCGTGGGAACTCACGTGCGATGTGACTGCCGAGGACCAGTTCTATTTTTTCCTACCAGCAGGAAGTTTAAAATCTGCTGGCTTATTTTTAAAGAGGGTGAAAAAATAGGCATCCCGTCCGCTTCCGCAGGGGCCCTGTCCAAAGGCACGTGCTGCTTGATGCAAGGCTCCGGCCAGCTGGGGGGACCCACGGTGACAGGAAGGTCCAGCAGGGAGTGTCTCACACACAAGTGGCAGAAAAGGACACGGGCCTGGCAGCTGCCTTGAGGAGGACAGTGACCCTGGGTTTTTACGGAGTTGACATCTAGCAGTTTGTTTCATGTGGGGACTTGTGACTACTCCCCTCCTCTCCAAAGGGCCACGGTCCCCAGTACTGGACTGAAAGTTGGGGCTCCAGTGGGTCTGGGACCTGCTCAGTCATTTGGGGAGCTTTGAGCTGTAGACTCATGACATACGAGTCACAGAGGCGTCTCACATTCCTGAGAACACGAGGAGTTTGGGGGAGCTACTGCCTGCAACTCTAATGTAGGAAACAGTATTTACATGAAAGGTAATGTAGTTGAACTTGGCTTCCACTGACAAACTTTTTCTGATCGCTGACTTTGTGCAAAGCACTGTGCTAGGAACCAGGACTGCAGTAGATTTCTCCAGGGACCATTTCCCCACGTCCCCTGGATAAGTAACAAAACCCCGGAGGATCACAAAGCACCATGAGGAGTTGCTGTAGAAAGTTCTGGGAATGAAGGGCAAAATCGTTAACCTTCCTTTCATTGTGTGAGGCGTCAATCTTGCCCCCTCTGCTCAGTCTTAGAAGGTTGCGAGGCTTTTTCTCTGCTGCTAACGGAGTAGGACCCGTATAAAATCCCTCCTCAAATCCTCCCGACAACCCCGGGAACGAGTGAGGTTTAAACCCAATTCCTCACAACAGGAGAGGAAAACTAGGTAGAGTAACCTGTCCAGTGTCTCCGAGCTGGTCCGGCTCAAGTCGGGCTGGACTGGAAGGCTTCTAGGCCGCAAGGAGCCGGAGTGTTGCTCCGGTTCCAGCTCCCTGACTTGAGCCCTTGAGCCCAGAAGCCCAGGAAACAGTCTGCTGGCCTTGGAGGGTGTCTGTGTAGGGCTGGTCGGAAAGGGAGTTCGAAGTGGTGGGCGTGACCCCTTCTGCAGCCATTCAGCTGTGACTCCAGCTAGAGAGGGCGGTGGGGAGGTGAGCACTGGATTTTTTGAAGAAGGCTGGGCCCCCGGGGACTGGTAAAATAGGAGATTTTCTTAAAGAATTATCTAGAATTCTTACCCCCTTCACTCCCACGACCTGGGATTTTCGTAAGACACCGCTGGTGGGTAAAACAGCACCCAGCCAGAGAATACTTTCTGTGTGGGGCTTTCACAGGCAAAAACAACATGAGCTGCAGAAACAGAAGCTCAGAGCTACAGACTCGCAGGGGTGGCGGTCCCAGAGGCCTCCATCCCACCCTATCTACGGGGTGGCCGCACCGCAGCCTGGGCCCTGCCTGAGCCTGGAGCTCACACCTTGGTGTCACTTTGGGTGGAGGATTCCCCTTCTTTTGGGGAGAACGGAGGACACTCTATGGAGGCTCAGTCACACGCGGGGCACACTGCGGGGCAGAGGCAGCAGACCCTTTGAGTTTCTTCAGGTGGCTGCTGCCGCACCCCTTCCAGTTTCTCCTCCCACAGGGAAGGAGTGGGGGGAGCTCCGGGGCAGGCAGGCTCCGCCCTCCCCCGCCCTCAGGTGCTAAGGGGCCCTCTCACAGGCTTCCCTAAGGACTGAATGACAAAGCCACCTGCCAGACAAGAAAAAGGCACAGGCCTAGCCTACACTGGGTCTTTCCAAAAGGAATGAATCAAATGATTCCTCAGCCTGAGGCTACTCAGAGAATGTTGAACAGTCAAAAATCGACCTTCTGTTGTCCCGGCCTGACTGGGAGTTCTGGACCCAGACACTTGGTGCTTGGGTGCCTTCTTGAAGAAGAAATAGACCCTGACTGCAAAGCAGTGACACGGGCAGCTGACAGGCCTCACTGGCCCAGGTCTCCTGGGGCAGCCTGGGCCCTTCCTGGGCTTCCTGCTGGCCCATGTGGGTGAGCCGTGGGAGTCAAATCTCCACGCAGACCTGAAGACCTGGGTGAGGCCCAGGACGGGCCAGGAGCCAGAGAAGACCAGCTGGGGACTTGGGCTGACCTCAGTGAGGATGACTCCCATGCTAGAGCCGCTTGTCCCTAACTAACTCCCACCCCAGAATGTGGCCTTGGTGGGCACATGTCAGGTTGAGAACTTGTTTTTCCCCATTCCCCACCCTTAAAAGCTTCATCAGGGCACAGAGATGACAGCCAGAAGGTGCCCCCTGCAGGCAAGTTATCGACAGCAGGCTGAGGCACTAGGACAGGGGCCCCGGTGGTGGCCCTTGTGTGCCCTCTGTCTGACAGGAATGCGAGGGCAGCAACCAGAGGTGGGTGCAGACCCCGGAGAACAGAGCTTGTTCAGCTCTGCGCGGATTGGCCGAGTGGCCAGGCGGTGGCTTGCTGTCAGCGACACCAACGTCCGTCCAATGTCATTTCCCTCCAGTTTTTCTGTGGGGCCACGTTTTCTAATCTCTTAACTGAATGACGTTCTCAGGCTCCATCTGCTGGGTAAGGAGCTCACTCGCAGCAAAGAGTGGGCAGAGGACATGAAGAGACGCTTCTCCAGGGAAGACATACAGAAGGTCCACAGACAGGAAACGATGCTCAGTGTCACTAATCGTCAGGGGAACGCAAATTAAAACTACAATGAGATACCACCTCACACCAGTCAGAAGGGCTATCATCAATAAACCAACAAACACCAATGCCGGTGGGGATGTGGGGAAAGAGAACCTTCATGCGCGGTCGGTGGGAATGCAGACCGGTGCAGCCACTGTGGAAAACAGAACGGAGATTTCCTGCAAATCTAAAAATAGATCTACTGTAGGACCCGCAACTCCACTTCTGGGTATTTATGTGAAGATAACAAAAACACTAATTTGGAAAGATCTTTGCCCTGGCTGGTATGGCTCAGGGGATGCAGTGCCGGCCTGCAAACCAAAGGGTTCCTGGTTCGATTCTCAGTCAGGGCACATGCCTGGGTTGAAGGCCTGGTCCCCAGTAGGGGGCATGTGGTTACACATTGATATTTCTCTCCCCCTTTTCCTCTTTCTAAAAATAAATAACTAAAATAAAATAACAAAGATTTTCGCACCCCCACATTCACTGAAGCATTATTCACCACAGCCAAGACAGAGAAGCTGCCTAGGTGTCCATCAACAGATAAATGAAGATGTGAGATACAGAACACACACAATGGAACATTACACAGCAATAAAAAAAGAATGAAATCTTGCCATTTGCACCAACATGGAACCCAGTATGGGCTAAGTGAAATAAGTCAGACAAAGACAAATACCATGTGGTCTCACATGTATGTGGGATCTTACAAAACAAAACGAACAAACAAAAGAAAACAGACTCACAGAAACAGAGACCAGAAGGGAGGACTTAGGGTTGGGTGAAGGAGGGGCAGGGAAACATTGTCAATAACACTGTGACAAGTAACACGGTGACAGATGATCACTAGAATCAGTGGGGCGATCGCACTGTAAGGTATAAAAACATCAAATCACCATGTTGCACACCTGAAACTAATATAATCAATATAAGAGTATAAAGCAACTATGCTGAAACCAACAAATTAAAAAGAGCTCACTTGTGTATACGAAGGATGTGCGGTTTGGGAAAATCATTTAATGACAGAGAAAGCACACCAAGCTATAACAGGAGCCCATCAGGTGTTGCCGCTGTACAAGCCAGGGCCCAGAGACCCTGAACTCACACTGGACAGTCACAGGGAAGTCAGTCTCGGTTAAGGGAACATCCACGGAGCGTCTCTGAGGACATGGAGGAGCAGGAGACAGTGACGAGTCACGCACGTGCTGAGTGTCTGTCACTTGGATGCCTCTGTAGTCCTTTTCCTTTCTCATTTGATGGCAGGGCTGAGGAGGTTCGTGAATGACCAAGTGGAAGAGAGGCCTTGTGTATCAGCATCACAGGAGAACCGGGACTCAAGGCAGATGTGGCCTGGGTTCTCCATGGGTCACACCCACGAAACAGCACAGCATCGGTCCTCTGAACGGCAGCTCCTTGGAGATTTAGGGTGTGTGCACAGCTTCCCGAAGGCATGCTAGGAAATAGGCTTATCACCACAACTTTGCCATCCCAAAGGGTACAAGTCATTCTCCTAGTTTTCATTGCATGTATCTATGTCTCAAATTAAAGGACAAGAAAAAAAAGGCAGCAACTGAAAAATTATTTGGAGCATTGTGGCACGTCACCAATCTCTTTTGCTTATGATACATGGCAGAGCAAATCGAACCCTGTCGTTACCAACTTTCATGATAGATAACCCTATACTGTACACTCTCCGAATACAGAAAGAATCCATCCTATTATACAGGCTTCATCTTGAAAAATAATCTAGCATAGTCATATTCTCTGGCTAGTAACAAACTATTAACATCTTCTGAGAATACAGAGAAAACTCCAGGATCACTAGTAAATTCTCTGACGTACCCCCCACCCACGCCCCCATTCAGCATCATCTAGGAACACATTTCCGCAAAAGCATCCCGGGCTCATTCATAATTAGGAAAAGAAATGGATATGGCCGTTTCACCGAGCAGACTGGCAGCGAGAGGTGATGAAGCATTTTTTTTTTACCTTGGCAAAAATGAAGCACAAACCTAACATCTCACAGGTTCGGGCCCATGCAAATGCATGATTTGTTATGTGGGGCTGTTTTAATGTCACCCCGAAACCACAATTAGCATGCAGGTCGTTTCCAGCTACTGAGTTAGAGTGAGTATTGGCAGTGCATCTCTTTTGTGTAACCATGATCACTAAGGCAAGATTATTATTTCACTTTGTCTAGAGTATCAGCAATATTTTGTCGGATGCAGGTTTATACAGGGTGGACCTGTGCCTTACTGTCTGTTTTGGTTTTGTTTTCTTTTTTTTTTTTTAAGAAAAAAAAAATCTCAAAACACAGATCCCTAAACACGATTCAGTTGAAAATGAACTGTTATGCTTTTAGAAATAGATTTTAAACTACAGGGCTGCCCTGTTTTTATTGTTTCTTCTTATGAACATTTTAAAAAGTCCCCACCCCTAAAAATTTGTCAAATTATTTCTTTGTTATTGGTAATGCGATCCTGGTTGACTCTTGATGGACTGCAGCTACGAAGGTTCTGAATGAGGAACACAACGCTCAGCAGTTAGCTCTTCCAGCTGTCAGCCGGGGACCCAAAGAACCTCTAGTTTCCCAATCCATCCTTTCGACAGTGGTCCCGGCAACAGGTGCTCAGCTACCCAGGGGTGCTTTCGGATGGGGTTCGCTTGGCTGCCCCATGTTGACCTTCAAGCTCGGGACCCAGCTGCGCTCCGATCTGCAGACTAGCGGAATGTCCTTCGATTTTCAACAGGAATTCATGGGAGCTGGGTTTGCCTGTCCCAGGGAAGCTGAGGCAGTAGAGGCAGCTCCATGGCCCCGCCTAGAACAGACGCCAGGTGAAATTGGTATGTTTGTGTGAAGCCAATGCAGCAGGAGAACTGGAAGGTCCCTGGGGAGCACTCCCTGCCCTGAGCATTTCATACAATGGAGCCTTTGGAGGATGACAAGTGGATCGACTGAATCCTGATGGCCAACGTCCTCTGTAAGTCCTGGAGCACATCCTGGCCCGTTCCTTCGCCGTTTTTGTCATATAGGAGCTGCTTAAATGCTTCGTTTTCAATGAGGACCATCATGTTTTTGAGAAAGTAGCCTTCACAGTACGCTGAGAGCTCTGTGACGCCAAGAAACTGTGGAGAGTGGGGAGGAAGCAGGAGATGGTCATGTTTCTGAGACGCACCTGATGGCTTCCACATGCAATAAGGGAGGGCACCTGTTCTGGCAGATCGACCGCAGACGTGGCCCTGACTCTCCTCCACCCTTTTCTGTATTCACATTCCTGGGACATGACTTTGCAGCCCCTCCTATCAAAGGGCTGGAGTCTCCCCCCACTGCCTGGTCTTGGGACCTGCTTGGGACAACAGAACAGGGTAGAAGTGAGAGTCACCAGTCCCGGGCTAGATTCGGGTGGCCATGCGTACATCCCAGCTCCTCCTCAGATCCCTGCATCCGCCTGTGTGAGTGACTACATGAGACTGAGGAGAGCCTACCCAGCTGCCCCAGCTGAAGGCTCTGACAGTGACAGAGTCCAGCGGGATCAGCACAGCCAGCTGCGACTGACCAGCCTGCTGACCTCAGAGGCCAGGCCTGCTGAGACCAGAAGAACCTTTCAGCCTTCCCGTCAGCTCACATGGGAAATAAGCACTCGCTGTGTTAATCACCGGGGTTTGCGTCTCTTTGTAACACTATAGATCACTGGCACATAGATGGAGCTGCAGACACAATTCTAAGGTCTTTAAAGTATTAACTCATTAAATTCTCACACCAATCCTACGAGGGAGCACTGCCTACTCACCCAGTGTCTTGAGGGCAGGGGGGAAGTCTGCTTCCAAAGAGACATTGGGAAAAGCCTGGAGATATTTTTGGTTGTCACCAATGGGGTGGTGAGTACTACTGGCATCTAATGGGTAGAAGCCAGGAGTGCGGCTGAACACCCCACGATGCACGAACAGCCCCACAGAGAAGAATTACACAGACTGAACCATTAATAGTGCTGAGGTGGAGAAACAGATCGACAGATGTGGTTTCTGACAGACTAAACCTGTACGGAGGGACTCCGCCTGCTCGGCTCACTGTTGCAAGCCCAAGCAGAGGGCTGGGCAGATGGCAGACCCTTAGTAAGTACTTGTGAATGTGTGAATGAATGGTTAACCCTCAGAGGGCTGAAACTAACAGCAAGGCTCTTGATAGCGTATGATGTGTCAGGCACCTCATCAGGCGCTTCCTATGTAGCTCGAACTTCCTTGAGGCAGGTACTATTATCACCTCCAATGTATAGATGAGGAAACGGTGATAACAGAATCACTTACAAAAATGCACACAACATGTCAAGGGCAGAACCAGGAACTGAACCCTGATAGTTCAAGGCCTTAGGTTGTGCTTAGTCTGTTAGGATGCTCTGCCTGCAGCCGGATGCCATTAATCGGAGGGTAGGAATTTAATTTCATGAGCACGTTTGGTGCAGGAATTCAAGTTTGGGAGCAGAAGCAAATGTGGATACATGGGTCGGCCAGCTGTCTTTAGTCCTTCTCTCTAGTGTTGAGGGGGAGAAACATTAACATGAGAGAGAAACATCAATCAGTTGCCTCTCGTACGTGCCCAGACCAGGGACCGAACCCGCAACCCAGGCACGTGCCCTGAGAATGGAACTGGCAACCTTTCACTTTGTGGGAGGACACCCGACCCACTGAGCCACACAGGTCTGGCTGCCCTTCTCTCGAGTTTTCAAAGCTCGTAGGTCTCTCTGTTACAATGAACTAGAGGCTCAGAACTTGGTTGTTAAGTGCTCCTTGAGATGGCACCCTGCTGCTTTATTTAGATGCTGAATCGCCCTTCCGAAAGCTCTAGGATTCGGTCCTTTAGACCAGAGATGCACGTTAAGGTGTTAGGTGTAGAACGCTGAGCTGACAATGAGGCAGTGCCAACAGGGTTACGGTGGAAGGAGCTGGAAGACCTGGATTCCAGGTGGGGCTGTCCCACCTGTCTGAATATGTGCCCAGGGCTGGGTCCCTTGGCCTCTGACTTTAGGTCCCTCCTTTTCAAAATGGGAATTACGACACCTGCCACACGGACCTGTTGGGGGATTCAGTGGAATGTGATTCCTGGCAGGACTGTGTCCTCCATCAGGCTCAGGAGGCAGGTCAGGAAAGGAGCTAAGGGAGGAGGCTCTGGAACCTGCCTGAGTTCTTACTGCAGACTTTGCCACTCACCAGCCATCTGCTGTTGAGAAGTGATGTAATCTCTCTGAGCCTCGGTATTCCTGTGCATAAAATGGGGATCATAATAATACCTAATCAGCTGTTGTTGGGATTAAATGAGATAATACCTGGGAGTGTTTGGAACACTGATTGTAATCAGCATAAATGTAAACTACACATTTACATTGAGAGTAAATGTAATACATGAGAGTAAATGAATTATTCTCTCAATTACTTATCTCCAGGGACCCACGTATACAATGAGGCCAGAGTGTGGTTAGGAGAGCTGACTCCGTCTATAGAACCCAGCTCAGCTAACTGGCTTGTACTCTTGAACTCACTGACATCATGTGCTAATTCCCTGAGCCGACAGTCCAACCGTCTACATAAAAACCACGTGCAACCAACTCAGTAATAACAAAACAATCTGATTTAAAAAATGGGCAGAGGATCTGAATCAATATTTTTCCAAGGAAGACATACAAACACAACAAGCCCATGAAAAAGATGTTCAACATTACTGATTATTAGAGAAGCGCAAATCAAAACCACAGTGAGGTATCACCTCACGCCCCTGAGAATGGCTATTAGCAAAAAGAGAACATAGAGAAGAGGGAGCTCTCGTGCTCTGTGGGCGGGACCGCAGATCGGTGCAGCCGCCATGCAGAACAGGAGGGAGGTTCCTCGTAAAATGAAGAAGAGAAGTACCTAACGATCCAGCTATTCCACTTCTGGGTATGTATCCGAAAAATACAAAAACACTAATTTGAAAAGATACACGCACCTCCATTGTCACTGCAGCATTATCAACCACAGCCAAGATATGGGAACCAAGATAGATACTATATCTATCAATAGATGAATGAATAAAGATGTGACATATAATATAAATAGATTTATATCATATATTATATAAAACTATTATATCACATGTAATATATAAAGTAGATATATAAAATGTGATATATATGGTATAAAATAAAGACAAAGAAGGAATCAGCAATTATACACACACACACAAATGCAACAGTGGAATACAACTCAGCCATGAAAAAAGAAATGTTGCCATTTGCAGTGACATTGATAAGCCTTAAGGTTTTCTTATGCTAAATAAAATAAGTCAGACAGAAAAGGACAAAAACCATCAGTTTTACTCATATATGGAACATAAAACAAAAAAGAAACAAATGCACCAACAAAACCACAAAATGAACCCACAGATGCGTGGTCGGCAGTGGGGGGTGAAATGGGAAAGGGGCTACCGGACGGTGCTGGATGGAAGCTGGAATGCTGGTAGTGAGCACGCCAGTACATACAGACAGCGAATTATAATGTGGTACACTTGAAACATGTAAGGTTATCAACCAATGTTACCACATATACAGAAATTCTTCCAAAGTGCTTGAGCAAACACAAAAAACATATGCAATCTTATGCAAGTCAAATCACCCCTCTGGGCCTCAGTCTCCCAAGCTACAAAATGAGAGGGAGAAACTATAAGGAACTGCACTCAGGGTGCACTTGGCAGGTGGGTGCACCAGGTAATTCTGCAGCCTCTGAATGGTGACTGGAAATCAGACACTTGTCTGTGTCCGCACAGCTAATTACTAACAGAACTGGGACCGAAACTCTCATCTCCTAGACCAATCAATGGTTGACAATCTATAGGCCTGTGGGCCTGGCCCACTACCTATTTTTGTAAATAAAGTTTTATTGGAACACAGCCACACCCATTTATTTATATATCATCTGTGGCTGCTTTTGTACTACAGTGGCAGAGGTGAGTGGCGTGGCCTGCGTGCACATACTGACGTGGCCCTTTACAGAGAAGGTTTGCTCTCCCCTGCCTTGGACTGTAATTTTTTCAAGGGCAGAGACCACGTCTTACTAATTTGTTATTCTGGTACATACAGTTCCCAGTGATAGTGGCTGCTCGATAAACACTAGGGAACAAAACCCTCATGTTCCTAACCTGTGTTCTTTGCATCACAGTGCATTGCTGAGCTCAGTGCATCCATTGAGATTCAATTTGATGATCACCTGCTCTTTTTCTTACATTGAAAGATGCCCTGAATGGGCCATCAAACGTTCCAGAGCCTCTATTTGTTAACTGAGCAGTTTGGGATGGCTTTGCTGGCTAAAAAAGGATGGCCATGCTGCGCATTTGTGGGGCGGGCTTCTCATCCGTGCGCAATCCCACAGCTGCCCCAGTCAGACATAGAACAGAGGCGACGTTGCCCCGGCCTTGCTGACACTTGGAACACAGTTGTTAGCATTTAAACAACTGGGGTTCCAAACCAAGGGTTTCCTCTCAGTCTCTTTTACTACATCAGCCTCAATTTGCAGCACCATCTGTCAGTAACAGAACCCGAGTGCAGGGGGCGCTGCGGTGTCCGCAGCCCAGGGGAAGCAGAGCAGAGGAAGAAGGGCAGGGTGCTGGCACTGCCTGGCGCTCCATGCCCTTATCAGGAAGAATGGATGTCTGCACCGGAAACACTCCAGGACGTGGCCTGGGAGGCCAAGGAAGGCAGCGCTCCGGCTGCAAAGGCACGCCAATGGAAGGGACAGTTCTCTGCCTGAGGTGTTCTAAGCCTGTGGCACAAACGTGCCCCCAGCCAGGGCTCCCGTTGCACTGGGCTGCATTATTAAATAACGAGATAGCTAGAGAAGATGTCTGCCCAGGAGCCTGAAGAGGTTAAAATGGGTTTGTGGGATGCAGGCCTTGCCACCAGGGGATGTGGGGGTGCACAGGGCAATCTGAGTGTCCATGGCTGGGGGGAGGAGGTGGGCAGAAGACCATGGACCGTTCAGGCTCTCTTCCTGGGTGGAGAGAGCCTTTCTGGATGCTGTGTCCCGAGAAACCAGAATTTGGTAAAACTGTCACTTTACCCAAACACCCAGTGGGTATATGCATGTGTACCTGGCTGGACTGATTTACTGGTGACTAATCAGAAAATCTTGGACTATCGAGGATTTGTGCAAATATTTCAAACACTCTTTAGGCCAGACAGGAAACACAAAGTTAAGAATCTGTGCTTTGGATGAGACAGGTCTAGGTTTAGACTCCTGGGTACGAACCCCAAAGAAAGGAAAACAGGGCCCTGAACACAGATTGGCCCATCCGAGCTCACAGCATTCAACGACATTCACAACAGGCGAAAGGTGGAAACAGCCCAAACACTCACGACAGGTGAATGGATAAACACAACGCGGTCTGTGTATAATGGAGTATTATTAGCCAGCCTTCGGAAGGAAGGAGACTTGGGCACATGCTATGACATGGATGAACCTTCAGAACACTGGGCTGAGCAGAATAAGCCCTCGCGAAAGGACAAGTACTGCATGATTCCACCTATACAAGGGATCTAGAGCCCTTGATAGATAAAGGAAAGTGGTGGTTTCCAGCAGCTGGGTGGAGAGGAAAGCAGGGAGTGAGGGTTTAATGGGGATGGAGTTGCAGTTTGGAGATGAAGAGCTCTGCAGACGGGTGCTGGCTGCACAAGAACTGCTCGCTTAGAAAGGGTTAAAACGTGAGTTTCGGGTTACATGTGTTTCGCCACAGTAAAAACCTCAGCAAGTTACTGCACCTCTCTCTGCCTGCTTCCTTATTCTGACAGGGCAGCGTTCCCTGCACAGGGCTGTGGGGAGGACGAACAGCAATGGTGCAACCAGGCTGTTTGCACGGGCACCTGCACATTCGAAGGGGTGGCTGAGTGTTGGCTTCAGAGAACGACACCGCAAACGCAACTTGATTTGGTGTGATGACCAATGAGAAAAATCACTCACATCAGCTGTCACTCACGTCAGGGGCAAGGGTACTGAACTCCAGTTATACGACCCATTTTGTTTTCATTGAATCCCTGATCGTATTTCGTTGTTTCTTCCTAGGAAATTCTAATCTCCCCTGCCTCCCCACCCCCGCCATTGGGGTGAGCACATGAAGCAAAGTGAAGGGGTCTCTGGACTCATTAAGCCTCTCAGTCCCTGGGTTCCCACTTGTGAAACGAACTAGATAAAGACCAGTGTTTCCGAAAGCTGGAGCGTGGGCTGGCCTTAGCACTGAAGTCACCCTGGGGGTTTGTGAAAAATACAGATTCTGGGGCCCGGCTGCAGACACCCTGCTGTGGCCAGGGAGGGGGCAGTGCTAAACAGACTGAGACTCTCCCCAGTGATTCTGAGTGGTAGTGTCCCGATCCCTCTGTCCCTGGCTCTCTCCAGTCCTGACACTCTGTTATCAACCTCACCCACACAGGAGAATCACCCAGGGAGCTCAGAAAAACACCTTTTCCCGGGCTCCACCCCCAGAGGCTGACTTAATCGCTCTGGGCTAGGTCTCAGGCACAGGGAGGCTGGGTGAGTATCCAGGTGAGTCTGCAGGGCAGCCATGCTGGCAACCTCAGCAGGAGAAGAGCAGGTGTCGCTCTCAGGCATGGGCCGGCACCACCCACGAAGCCACAGATGGGCCTCTCGCCAGCGTTTGAGTCTGCAGGTCCGGGGTGCTGTCCTAGAAGCTACATTTCTAACAAGTCCCCTGATGGTGCTGACGGTGCTAGGCTGGAGCCCACACTTTCACAGCCTGTCCCAGCACCTTGCTACTCCGGGTGTAGCTCTGGCCGGCAGCACAGGCCAACCCTGGGGGCTTCTTAGAACCGCAGGAGGCAGGGGCCACTGGGGCGGGGCTGAATGAGTCTGCAATGCAGTTCCCGTGCCTCCCAAGCCGTTGTTGGAAGCACAGAGTGGGTTCCTGCTCTCACTGTATTCTGGAGGGGGGATGAAGAGAGCAGGAAGCAGATCTTGGGTGGGGTGTCGGTGGGTCAGCACGCCCAGCGTTGGCGCTCCGCCTGTCTCTGTCTGTGGAGGAGGCCCCTCGCCCATGCGCCTGCGCAGTGTAAGCTCGGGTCGCCCGAGAGGTTGGTTACCTTGGCGTGGTTGTAAATATCCACGCAGTTGTCCGTGTTGATGCCCTTCGCACAGATAATCTCACAGTGTCGCTGCAGAGCCTCCAGCTGGAAAAATTTAGCCGCAGACACAAGCTAAGAACCATAAAAAAAGAGCCCATTAGAGGGTGGGAGGTGGGAGGAAAGGAACAGCGGTAATAAAAATCCTCCTGTTCCATAGTGGTGTCCTGAGATGAAGGGAGCGGAGACAGTGTCGGTGGCTCACTCTAAAGCAGGGAGGTAGCCCTAGAGGAAAGAGACACAGTGATGGACTCTATGGGGGGCGGGGTGGAAGGGAACCAACTTCACATCTATTACAGCTGAAGGTCAAGCACAATGTCTAAAACTGTTCTGTCCAGCATTGATGAATGGTCTTTGTGGGGTGACTCAGGACGTGGCCCCTCCACGACCTCAGAGAACAGGTGGCCGCCTGGCCAGCAGCCATAGGAAGGAGGTACAGGGTCAGTATCTGGATGTCCCAGCCCTCTCAAGGCCCCTGTGTCTTGAGGCTTCTGTGTTTATCATGAAGTATAGATTTTTGACACCCTACTCCCTCCCTAACCCTGTAAGTAGTGTCAAGGCTGGAGGTGGGGCACAGTCCCCCCTGCCCAACGCACTGTCATCGCCCCCCCCCCAACTGAGTGGTAAAGGGCATGCCCACATCTGCTGGTCTTTTCGGGGGGGAGGGGGCTTTCCCAATGTCACAAACACAAATGCAGCTGCCCGGCTTGCAGCTCCTGCGTTACCATATTATTCAGCAAGCTGGACATGGGTGCGGCTGGCTCCCTGTGTTCATCTAGGTCTCCGCTCCAGTGTCGCCTCCTCAAGAGAAGCCTGCCAGACCGCCTCGTCTCAGGGGGCCTCCCCCCATCACCGCCTGACCCCTGACCCTGTCTTTCACTTCCTCACAGCCCTTCTCACACCAGACACGACGTCATGCCTGTCGCCCTCCCCGGAGTCTGGGAGGGCAGGGAGCTCTGTCCGTGTGTCTCACTGCTGCATCCTGGCCCTGAGCACGGCGGGCGCGTGGCTGGGAGATGCTCATCAGAGCGCACGGAGAGAGCAACAGGCTTGGGGGAGGGGAGAGAGCTAAAGCAGGAGTTCCAAGGGACTGACTTCAGGGGGAGGACGGGGTGGGGTGGTGTGTGTGGCTGAGTGAACCGCCTTTTTTTATGGACAGACGACTTCTGTATTATTTATATGATCTAAATGTACCTTCATTATTTTGACTTAAAAAGAATTTTTTAAATGTTTACAAAAGAGCCTGTGTCCTCAGATGGCAGGCGGCCTGGTGTGGAGGTGGAGGAGAGGTGCCAGAGGGGCGGTCCAGAGAGACAAGGGCATTAACTCTCGGGGGGCGGAATGGGGAGTGACCTGGGGAGCTTTCATGGGGTAAGAAGAGGAAAAAAGGGGCCACACAGTGAGTGCACAGCCCCTATGGAACCCACTGTGTGCTGCGCACTATTCTAAGTACCTGATAGACGGGAACTCTTAAAATCCTGAAAACCCAATGAGGTAGATATTATTACCCCATTTTACAGGTGAGGAAACTGAGTCTCAGAGAGGTTAAATCACTGGTCCCAGATCACACAGTTCAGAAGAGGCAGAGCCTGGATTTAAACCCAGTCTGTCCTGGAGCCCACGCTTTGACTGCTGTGTGAGGTCTCCTCGTGATTGTGTCTGACATCTCCAATCAGCCAGGCACCCTAGACTTCAGACACCCGAGTTGGGGAGGGGGGTCCTGTCTCTCTGCTCAGGGCCAGAGTGATTTTGGCTTTTGGATCAAAGCTCCTAGCTTGGAGCAGGAAAACCAACAAGGGTTCCATGTCTTGGCAGGAGCAGGCGAAACCTTGGCCTTGGACAGAAAAAAGCAGGGACAGACAGATTCCCTGGCACAGGCTGAACTATCAAGGGCAGATGGGGGTCAGGGAACAGCCAGCCAAGGGGCTGCGGAGTGAGGGCCGGCCGAGTGCAGTGAAGCTAGGTGAGCTTTGTGATGGCTCTCGGCATCTGGTCAGAGACAGTGCTGCGAGCTGAGGGAGGGTTCCGGATGATATACTTCTCTCACAGATGACAAGGCAGGAGAAGTCATCCAGGATGGTTCCTGATGAGGCTGCTGAGCCCCAGCTGCGCTGGGAGACTCGCCCTCTCAGTCAATTTCCTGTACCCCACGGCCCAGGGCCAGTTAAAACCAAGTGTCACAGACAGGGGTTGGGCTAGTGCACGGAGCATCCCAGCCTTGGGGGCAAGGGGGCACGATGAGAAGCCTCTTCTCTGGGGGGGTGGGGTCTAAGGAGTCGGGAGGGCCCCAAAGCCTGCATCCAAACACAAACCCAATGTGGGTCCCCCAGACCTGCCACTGACATGCGCTGTGACCTGGGTTTGTGGAAGTGTCCCCCTGCCCAGCCCCCAGTGACAGGGCGGATTCCTTACCTCCATTACCTCATTGTTTTTAATGAGAAGGGACTCTGGGCCACCATAGTAGAGATACTGCATGACCAGCTGGAAGAAAGGACACAGTAAACAAAGCGTCAGTGACACAGACACAGCCGTCTTAAAGCGGTATTAAAACCAACTTCTTCTCCTGGAACCTTTCTTTAATAAAAGCCAAACCAACGACAACAGCCCCGAGAGCCATTTACAAAGCACTTCTGGGTCCTGTTATCTCATTCCCTTGAGGTTGGGCCCAGGACTTGAAATGCTGCTCCTTAGTGGAAATGCCCGGGGCTAACAGCATTTAAATGGGGCTGCCCCGTGCGGCCTCAGACTCTGCCAGCACAAGCCTTTTCTGCAAGGGGGTGCAACGAGCCGTCATTAGCCTAAACGACCTGGTTATGGAGTTGTTTTTCTTGGCAGCTGTCAACCTGCATGAAGCAGGGATTGGAATGGCGAGCACAGCCTCACGGAGGCGCCACACCCAGGTGCAGCCTCGGCCGCGTCTGGCTCTCGCCCGCGTGTGATGTTAAGCAGTCTTGGAGGTAGGGCATTCAAAGCAGCCTCATTAACTAAAATTCTCCTGTCAGCGTGGAAGCGAAGTGAACAGCCCCCTGGGAGTCTCCTTCTGGGTCGGATTCCGCCCAACTTGGCCTATTTCAAGCCACAAATGAGGCTTTTCTTCTTTTCTGGGGAAGAAGGCGGGCACAAAGAAAAGTCCCTGGGGCCTGGTCCCTGCCCCTTATAGGAGTCGGAGGCTCCTGTGGCCAGGACGCCTTCCCGGTCTGAAGCAACTACAGGCCTTGGTCCCTTAGACTGTGCTTCCCCACGATGGCGGCTTACTCGGTGGATCTGTTGAATTTGTTGGGTGCCTACTGCAAGACAAGTCTTCTCTCAGGGACCTCCCCAGTTAGTCCCAGGCCGAACGGTAGAAGTGCACGCCCCCTTCTAGAGTACTCAGAGAGCTGGGGACATGCCATTTTCCAGCATCTAGTTCAGGCTCTAGTGGCTGACTTTTAGGGAAGGCCCAGGTCCCCGCAGCAGGGAGGCTGTGAAGACCTAGGCCTGGGGATCAGCCAGGCCTGCGTCGGGCCCTCAGCTCCACAGTGATGAGCAGTGGGAGCTCAGGCCAGTCCCTTCACCGGAGGCCCGGCCCCATCTGTAAGGTGGGAACGCTACCTGGAGGGGCAGCTGGAAGGGCTGAATGAGGTGATGGGTAGCAGTGGTTCTCAGTGTGGCCCCTGGACCAGCAGCATCAGCATCTCCTGGATTCTTGTTAGAAACGCAGATTCCCAGGCCATAGCCCAGGCTTATAGAACCAAGAATTCTGCGGTTAGGGCTAGGAATCTGCACTTTAGCGAGTTTTCTGTGTTTTGGCAAGCCTCCCCCACCCCACCGCCCACTGGGTATTTTGAAGCCTGCTCAAGTTTGGGAACCACTGTGACTCAGAGCACCGGTGGTCCCTCTTGGCTGCCCACTGGGATGATGGGAGGAAGGCAGACTTCAAAATGCTGATGCCTGGGCCCCAGCTCGGACTCTGCTCTAACTGGTCTGACTCGTGGCCTGGCCACTGGGCATTTCAAAGCTCCCAGGTGAGTCTAACACGCAGCCCAGGTGGAAAACCACCGGCTTGAAGCCTTACACATAGTAAGCACTCAAGAAATGCAAGCTGCGCTTAGCATTGTTGCCATTTAGGAAGAGAATTCCAGAACCAAGTGCCCAGGCTTTGGCGCCAGATAGGCTGGTTCGAATCCAGACTCTGTCGCTAACTAGCACTAAGACCAGGGGCATGAATCATTTACGTTCTCTGTGGTCTTCTCTCTACAACTGGCAAGAATAATTCAGACAACCACGTGCAAGCAGAGGCCAGTGCCTCAGTGACAGGTGGGGCTGCATGACGGCTTCTTCACCACTCTCCCCAGCCCTAACCCTAAAGCAAAGCCGCAGTTTCATGGGAACATTTCAATCCAACAGCTGCCGCCGCCCCAGAAAGGGCCGTGGCCACTTTGCTCTCAGTAGAAACTGTGGTGAGGGGCCGGGAAAGGGGACACAGGCTCTCATAGGTACGGGGGTGTGCCCACTCCCCGGTCCCACCGTGGGCCTGCAGCCTCCTCCTCTCTGCTACCCCCCACCCCAGTGGCTCTCCCAGGCTGGCCTTGGCCTTGGCCCTTTTTCATCCGTTCCTCAGTGTGTAGTTCAAAGTAGCCCACTCCTCAGGGACTGATGCTTGGCAGGGAGGTGGTTTATCGGTTATGCCTTAGGAAACGACCACCCGCATAATAACTGCCACAGCGAACCAGATGCCAAGCTGAACGCTTTCCCATGTCGTCCTGCTCGCTAATCTCCACAAGACCCCTCACCAGAGGGGTGACGATGGTGAACTTGTTTAAAATGGGGGAAAGGGAGCTGAGAGAGGAGAGCGCCTTGCCCATGATTATTTGGGGAGAATTCCTTATTTTGGAGTTTTAACATAGTCGAAGGAGCACATCTTGAATGGTGGAAATGTAGATGTTGGGGGCTGGGGCGAGGGCTTGCTGTCTCCCTGGCAGCCCTCTGAACGGCAGGATCTGGGGGACCAGGGTCAATGGCACAGGCAAGAGCCAGCATCTGGCCTGCCTCCTCCCCACTTGGCTCACACTATGCAGCGCCAATGTGTCCTTTCAGTCTCCGATACACCTGGAAGACCCAGCGAATGGACTGATAATCACTTCCCCTCAAACATACCGCAGGGCTTCCCGCTTCTGCACCTTTGTTCACGTTTATGCTGCTCCTGCCCCTGGAACCCTCTCTCCCATCCACTCGATGAGGAAACCGACGCTCAGAAAGGACAGGTCACACGAGGGACACTGGGTTCAAACAGGGGGAGGAGCCTGTGTGAACATGAACGTAGCCCTCAAATCCTGGAATGCAGCTCTGTCCTGCAGTGTCCAGATCGGGACCCCCACCCCGTGACCCCACTCACAGCCAGCCTGGCCTCCCGCTTGTCTCTCAGAGTCTCGTCAACTGTCTTAGAATGTGAGTCTCGGAGGGCTGGCTTGAGTCTTACCCCCTTGGTTACTCTCTCCAGGTCTGCAAGCCCTGTTCAGAAGGTGGTACCTATCGTTCTCAGGACCCCCAAGCTGGCTTTCTGACCCCGGCTGGTGGGAGGACAGCGTGGAGGGACCCCAGGCTCCCCTGCGTGGCAGGAAGCCGCCCACAGGTATCATGCCCTGGATGAGCCTCAAAGGGCTGCAAAGTCGATGCAGGGGTGGGTGAGGGGCTCTGTGAGCTGTGAGAATGTCCGCATGATTCAGGCGGGAAGGAGGGGCGGGAAAGGGGAGAGGGCCGCAGTGCCCCCAAGGAGACGCCACATACACCAGGCCCCATCGCTAACGGTGTCGACTTCCCGGAATGGGAAAGAGACAATGTAGTGTCATCCGACCTCTGACAACGGCACCTTCCTTTCCTATGTACCTTCGCTTCCGATCAATGTTAGAACTGGATTTATACTATGAATTGGACATTGGATTCCCTGAAGTCCACAGGCTCCTGTTCACACCGGGCTCAACTACCGTCCCGGGACGTTGCCTGTCCCTGCCTCCCCCGGCGCCTTTCTGAAGCGCGAAGCCCTGCTACGGCTCGCCAACTTCCCAGCCTTCAATATTTCTGCTGACACCTCAGCCAGGAAGCCCCCCCACAGCACGGAGGCTCCCCGCTCCCTGTCATACACCCCACATTATACTATAAGTACAAAATTACTCAGAGTTACCCCGTCTGGACTGGGAGTCCCCAGGAGAAGACGTCCCTTTACCCTGTGTGTCCCCAGGCCCCAGCACAGTGTCAGGCACGTAGTAGGTGCTCAAGTAGCAGTGTAGGGATGAATGGATGTTAAGTGGTCAGGGCAGTGTGAGGTGGGGCCCTCGGGGCAGGAGACGGGTGTTTTGTTGCAGGGGCTGAGTCCCAGGCCAAGGACCAGAGGGAACCGCCGCGGTCCTCCCGCCCACAGCAGGGCTCACCTGAAAGATGGGGTACTTCACGTAGCCGATCTCTATGCAGTTGCCGTCGTTTGTTGGTTTGCTGGACAGGAGCGCTTTGAACCTGCACGAGAACACAAAAAGAGAAGACTCACGAACACACTCTCCGTGGGCAGGAAACTCAGCTCTTTTATCTCCCTAACTCTGACACACAACAATGGCATCTCCACAGATCACTTTAAAAACAAAAGATTTTTGTTTATTTTAGAGAGGTGGAGGAAGAAAGAGAGGGAGAAAAACATGGATGTGCGAGAGATACTTGGATCAGTTGCCTCTTGCACAAGAGATACATTGATCAACTCACATACCCCTCACCTGGGGATCTGGCTCACAGCCCAAGCATGTGCTCTGACTGGGAACTGAACCGGTGCCCTTTTGGTTCACAGGCCAGCACTCAGTCCACTGAGCCACACCAGCCAGGGATGCACAGATTTCTTAATCTAACCTTCTCCCTCCCTGGATGATACCATAATCCAATTTAAAGTTAAAGCCCAACTTTAAAGAACAGTGTTACTCCTCAAACAGGTGATTAGGAAAGAATGGATGCCTTGGGAAACCCCATCTGTCTTGCAGGGCCCACCACAAAGGCTGCCCCCCTCAGGGAGTCTTCTCTGAGCTGGGGCTTCGTGGTCCTCTGCTGTCTGTGGGGCCCTCCCACCTCCTACGGCCCCTGCCTCACAGCTGCTGCTCCAGGAGGCAGGGACTCCGCCCTTTGTGCTCCCGCTGCATCCTCGGGGCCAGTGCCTGCCGGATGCGTCGTAGGCATTTTCTCAAGACCTGATGACTCCCTGGGGGGTCTCCCTCTGGCTGACCTTCTGTCTGGGCTTCGGATGCCCCTTCCTGCCCTCGAGTAAACTGTACGCTCCTTGAGGGCAGGGACCCTCTCATTGGAACACACCGACACTCCATATATTCAGGAATAAGCTCGATTTTTTAAATTAAACTTTTAGTCTTGAAGTACTTAGAGGTATAGAGAAGAGTTGTGAAGACAGTCCAGAATTCCTGTTCGCTCTTCACCCAGTTCCCCCTCACGTTAACATCCTGCACGGACAGCCAAGCACCGTTGTCGAAACTAAGAAATTACCATCCGCACAATATCCATCCGGTTCTTCTACAGTGTCACGACTGAGAACTAGGCAAGGGACAGCCTATTCTTCTTGTGCTGGCAAAGCAGGCATGTAGGGCTTGTATCTGGTTTGGGGTGGGGGGTGCAGTGCAGATGCCAGGATGCTGTCAGGACCCAGGGAGTGCCGGTCAGACACAGTCCTGGGCAGACGTCCTGGATGGAAGTGGGCTCCTCACTCCCTGCCTGCCTCCTCCTCACTTAGGCATCACTCTCTCCTCTGCCCAGCTTCCCCGACCCTGTTCGGGTCCTTGGATGGTGTGGTTGCACGTGGTCAGCCCCAGCTCATCTCAAACTGAGAGGAGGAGGGAGGCTGTGGTGGGGGCAGGAGGGGGTTGCACAGTTGTACACTCCATGGTCAGGGAAAAGTAAGGCTCAGGACCTGAGTATTTCAGTGGCTTATGCCAGAGTCGCCTGGCGTTTGGAGAACAGGCCCGTCAAGGCTGCTGCGTGTGAGGTTTCAGGTTGTGCACTCCCTGCCCGAGGCACCTGGCTGAGGGGGCGAAAACCTCACCCACCCTCTGCTGTGTTCCGCCCCACACGTGCTCTGCCTGCCTGGGGTTCCTGGCGCCTAAGCCACACAGAGGTGCTGCTGTTTGTGGTGGTGGCCGCCCTGTACCCCTTTTAATGGCGTGTGAAAAACACGTAACATAAAAATTTACCCGCTTTACCGTCTGTAAGTGTGCAATAATGTTAAGTATATTCACCCTGTTGTGCAGCCAGTCTCTGGAAGATACCATGTGCCCTCCATGTCCTTCAACACTAACTCTCCCTCCCCCCACCCAGCCCCTGGTGAGCACTGTTCTGCTTTCTGTCTCTATGAATCTGACGAGTCTGTACCACACGTAGATGGAATCACCCAGTATTTGTTTCCTTGTGACTGGCTTATTTCACTTTGTCTAATGTCCCCAAGGTTCATTCGTGGTGTAGCGTGTGCCAGAATCGCCTTCCTTTTCCAGGCTGAATCACACATGCATACGCCGCAGTGTGTCTATCCATGCGCCCACGGACGGACACCTGGGCCGCTTCTACCTTCTGGCTGCTGCAAATAATGTTGCTATGAACACGATGCACAAATGCCCTGTGCTCTCAATCCCTTGATTTTGTGAAGCTTATCTGCCAGTCTAGTGGAGATGCCAGCAAAGTTGAACTTCAAAGCATAGTCATAGCAACAGCCACTCTCATAATTCATCCGCTGTCCACACTGACGGCACATACCTTGGAGAGGCTGTAAATAATAGTACTTTGTGCGCATAAAATGGTCTTCCTTCCACCAGAAAGGTGACATCAGACATTTCTTTATTGTTGAGGAAGTGAGGATCTAGAATAGAAAAGGGAAAGAAGGCAGCGTCAGTGGGCAGAGGGTGACGTCTGGATTCCAGGGGATAAGATACTGGTGGGACAGTGAGCAAACAGGGGTCAGAGGAACACTGAAATCACTGAAACCCAGTTTTTCATAGAAAATCTTCACAGCCTATTTGCAATTAAAAGTAGCATTTCCACCCTGGCTGGTGTGGCTCAGTAGACTGGGCACCAGCCTGCGAACCAAAAGATAGCTGGTTCGATTCCTGGTCAGGGCACGTGCCTGGGTTGCGGGCCCAGTCCCCAGTTGGGGGCGTGTGAGAGGCAACTGATCGATGTATCTCTTGCACATTGATGCTTCTCTCCCTCTCTTTCTCCCTCCCTTTCCGTCTAATAAATAAATAAAATCTTAAAAAAGAAAAGTAGCACTTCCCCAGAGAAGACTGGCCCACAGGCTGCGTTCAGAGGACTTTCAGGCATGAAAAGTCAACACCAGCCCACCTTGCCTCTAGGAATGCCGTTCCCCCCAGTCTCCTGCCCCTTCCTGATGGCCCTGGGTGAGGGAAGCTGTCCCCTTGCCACTGCATTCTGGGTGGTTCCAAATCCAAGCCTTTCTTTCCTGGCATCGGTGGCAAATGAGCCAGCCCCCTGCCCTTGTCTCTAATAAAAACTGGCACTTACTGGACACTCATGATGTACAGGGCCCTGGGCAAGCTGGCACTCACACATGGACACTCAGTCAGTCAGCCCTGGGGGACAGGGACCACTGTCAGGTGTGCAGTTGAGGAAGCTGAGGCACAAAAGGTTACAATGACTCACTCCAGCAGGCGACAGGTGGAGGAACCAGGATTTCAAGGCAGACATTCTAAGCCAAGGGCCTGCATTGTTAAACACCGGGATGCTCCCATTTGCCCGTCATTTCGGCCACTTAGATCTGGGGCTGCTGAAGGTGCCAGTCTGTCCTCTGCCTACCCGAGAGTATCCACCCCCGCCCCGCCCCCACCATCTCTGCACCTACCAGGGTCCACCGCACTCAGTTCCTGAGTCCATCTAACCTAGGTGAGAGGGCAAGGTGGCTCAGCCTCTGCTGGCCTTCCTCTTAGGTCACTTGCCCTGTTAACTCACTTGGGCCGCAGCACCCCAGGGTGGACCTTAACTTTATTTATTTTTTCAGGGTGGGCCCTTAGAGTCTGTAAATCGAAGATTCCTTAACATCTGTATTGTCCCATCGTTACTGTGTATCCACTCCGTCTGCCTCTCCCTCCGGCCAGCATGGCCAGCGCGCTCTGGGAGGGCAGGGCCTCGCCTGCCCTTTTCACCTCCTTCCCTCTATGTTGGGCACAGCAAGGTGGTAGAGTGTAGTAAGAATGTGAGCTCTGAGGCCAGAAATCTCAGCGACCTTGGGCAAGTTACTGAACCACCCCGTGCCTCCATTTTCCTTCCTGTAAAACGGGCATGCGAATGCCCACTGCACACCTGCATCCTGGAGCTGTGGTGAGCGATGCCTGAATTAATTTATGGGAAGCACTTAGCAAATCAGCCGACACACACTGCCCCTGGGAATGAACTGTGCTAATTAATACCAAGGGGTGGTACGCCCCTAGATGCTCAATCACTACTTTTTGGATGAATGAAAGAACGTCTTGACCAGTGCTTCAGAGTCTTGTTCTTGAAGCCTGTTGAAGACATCAAGCTCCTTCTTCACCCGGGGATCTGCCTGCTGTTGATGGGCCCTTCCCCAGGGGTCAAAAGTTTGTCCTCAAGTGAAGCCCCAGCTCCTCTCCATAGCTAAGTTTAGGCTGGCCCCAAACACTGAGGGAGGGAACCAATCCCTGGATTCCTGGGGGCTGTGGCCCACCAGCTGTTGGGCCGGTCCTGTCTGACCTCGAACCCCAGGCCCCCTTTTTTTGCCCAGACACTGCAGCTTGGACCCAGAACTCAACTTCCTGACTTGTTCTCCTCACTCAGCCCCCAGCCCCTCCGCTGCCCCAGGCAGGGTCCTGGTGGTTGGCTGTACCCTCACATTCTCTGTCACCTCTTCGCGCTAAGAAGCTTTAATTTAATACATATCCAAAAAAGAAAAAGCAATAAAACATCAAAATCAACTGTAATCCCACTATCTCCAAATTTTTTATTAACCGCCCCCTCCCCAAATTTGTAAAACTATCCAGGTAAAAGGAAGGAGGGAGGCCTCTGAGTTGACAAAACCCCACTTCTCCACCTGCTTTAAAGACAGTTAACAGGCCGGGGTGACCTCCCCCTTCTTCTCAGCCACCCGCCTCGCTCTGCCCACTCTCTCTCCCACTGTCTACCTCCGACCATCCCCATCCTGTGCCCCAAATCGCTAATAGCTCCTCCCATTAGCTCTTGTTACCATTCTCTCCCAGAATTCATTGAAACAGCAGGAGGACAATATATTCACACAAAAAAATAAGGCGTGCATACAGCAGTTTGCCATAGTCCCTGCCGCTCCCTACTGTCTTACACCGAGGCCATTTCACTCATTTATATGACCTGCCTGGCCCCATAGAGATGCCAGTTTGGGACCCTTGTCACTAATCATTCTAACTTTCCTTTAAAGCAGGTCCTTAAAGAACCCCCTGTTTGGCAACCATTAGTTAGCCTAGCTTGAAATGCTATACTGAAGATGCGAATCACTACATGTTCCATATTCCATTTATCGATAATTATACATATATTCTGCCCTTTTTCTTTCATGTTGTGAGCCTGGAGCCTCTTGGGCCTGCCTTTCTTCTCTTGCTCTACCCCTTGGAACTCCAAGACTTGGCAAAAAAATAAAAACGAGGACTTTAAAATTGCTGATGAAAGAAATCTCAGCAAGTTCAGGAGGGAAAAAAAAAGTTCCTTCCTCTCCTATAGCTACAGAAAAGCAGAATTTATGCTGCGCCGTTAAAACAGCCCTCGCAAAAACTCGCTCTAACAAGGGCGTCTGGGAGGACGCCCAGATGTCAGATGCTGCTATGTTGTGGGGATGCAGCCTTCATTCTCTGAAGGCTAGTGATTGATTGGTCTTCGTAATTTGTTGCACTTAGGATATTTTAATCAACACCTGTTTCTACAAGGTGGCAATACTTGTGGTTTTGGTGAATCCTGGTTTGCTCACAGGACTCAGCTGCAAAGTTTTCCATTTAACAAAACACTGTGTCATTTAAATTGACCATTTATTCCTGGCGGGGACAGAGGTACAATACTTTAGAACGGTTCCATGAATTCAGGCTCTTCACTCAGACTAGCTCGCCTGTTTCAGAAGTAGTGGTTTTGCGAAAGAGTAGGATTTTCTGATGCTTCCTTTACCAAATGCTTTCCGGTCTTTGTAGGAAAAGGAAGTAGGAAGCAGGAAAGCCCCCAACTTTCATTAGAAGAGGAATCCTTTCATGTTAAAATAGCTTTAATATTTGATAACTCCCCAGGCAGCAAGGAGAGAGGCCCTGCAGCAGAAGGCTCATGGTTCAGGTTTCCAGGCAGCCAAGTACTTCTTTGCCTTTTTTCCCAGGCTGGTCCAAGGGGCTGCAGCAGCCTCAGGGTCCTCGGAACGAAATCAGCGCCCGATGGAGAGGTTTCTTCTGGGAAATCCCAGAAGCTAAAACCCCAGGACGATGTAATTATGGCTTCGGGTGAACCTAGTTCAGGGCCCAGCTCCACCTGCACTGATACTGTGGGGTCTGCAGAGCCCCCCTTTCCTCAGCTGTGACGGGGGATGACTCCCAGTGTCCTCCGGCCTCCTGGGGCGGCCTGAGGATGACCAGAGCTAGGGTAGGTCAAGGCCTCGGCTGGGGCCAGCTCAGGGCAAGTGTCCAAGAAGAATACAAATGGAGACGGCTACCCTGATGGGACTCAGAGCACCCAGGATCCTCAGATCAGGTAGGTGCCCCTCACGTGTGTGTGAGTGTGAGTGTGTGTCTGTGTGTGTGTGGGGGGGCTCATTCCTCTCTCCTCCGAGCTCCCTGCAGGAGGCCCCACCAGAGGAACACGATGGCCTGTCACTGTCCCGTGCATGTCCCCCTCAGGGAGGCCTGGGGGACAGCCGCCATGCACAGCTCAGGCTTCTTTTATTATTTTTCCTCCGGTACTGGTTTTATTACATTTTTTTAAAAAATCGCAAAATTTGTACATGTGAGGCTCTCCTTTCCGTCTTTCCTTAACATTTCCCATTTTTTTAAAAGTCCATATTTTGTTTTAGATGCAGGTGCACGGCAGCGTGGTTAGACAGCCGTGTAAACTCTGAGTGTCCCCCACCCCCGTGTTTCCGGTTCCCACCTGGCACCACACACAGTCATCACGGTGTTATTGGCTGCATTCCCTGTGCCACACTTCATATCCCTGTGACTGATTTGTAACTACCAATTTGTGCTTTGTTTAAGTAAGATTTTTAAAAAGATCTAAAAAACTTATTTTTAGAGAGAGAGGAAGGCGGGGGTAAAGAGAAAGAAATACTGACGTTAAGAGAGAAACATTGATCGGTTGGCTCTTGTACACGCCCCATTTGGGGACTAAGGCATATGCCCTGACTGGGAATCAAACTGCGACCTTCCGCTTTGCTAGATGGCACCCAAGCAACTGAGCCACACTAGTGAGGGCCCAGTCTGTACTTTTTAATCGTTCACCTTATTCACTTAGTCCCAAAACCCCACTCCCCTCTGGCGACTATCTGCATCTGACTGAATTTTGTTTATTTTGTTCTTTAGATCCCACATACATGTAAAATCAGGTTGTATATACCTTTTTTGGATTAATTTATTTAACTCAGCACAATAACCTGAAGGTTCAGCCATCCTGTTGCACATAGTAAAATTGCATTCTTTTTCATGGCTCAGTAATATTCCACCACATATATGTACCACAGCTTTTTCATCTGCTTGTCTATTGATGGGCCCTTGGGTTGCTTTTCGAATCTACCTGCCTGCAGGGCTCCAGAGACCTTCCCACTGTCACTGCCTGTCATCTTTCACTTGGAGGAAGAGGGTGTTGGTGAGTGTCCCCGTCCAGCCTCCGGAGGTATTTCCTCCAGTTTTATCACATAATCCAAGTGACATCCTAATCTGCACCTGCCTGACGCTGGTATCTATTTGCTCTCAAACATTCCCCACCCTTCTTTACAGGCCTCGCTTCTTTCTCGTCCTGAAATCACAAAGCAACACCCCTGGCAGCGCAGGGCAGGGCCGGGGAAACACTCACCCAGGCGGGAGGTCTGCTTCCGTTTGATCTCTGTGAGCTTGGGGATGGGGTAGGGCCCGTAGCAGTGAGTGAAGATGACGCACAGCTGCTGGCTGATCACTTCGTTCTGCGGAAAAGAAAGAACAGCTCGCCTTGCTGGGGGCTGCACACGACCTCCCGCCAGTTGTTGCCAGGAACGGGCCCCCCAGGGGGAGGTGCCCACAGACGCATCTCAGGTTCTGAGATGCCCTGGACCTCACACGCCCAGTCTGCCCTGGCAGGCAGGCCCTGGGGCTGCGTGCCTGTCTGTTCACTGTCTATTGCCAGTGGGCTCACTGGGGGAAAGCTTGTCATTAAACGTTTCTTTCTTGCTCTAATCATTTACTAGCTGCTGGAAAGGAGGCTATGTCACTCACAGAATGGAAAATAAGTTTGTACCCCAAACATACTTTTATCAATACTCCAAAATTCTGGAAGCCTCTAAGGGCCCTGAAAAATAGTGGCAGGAGGCCCTTTTATCCCGTGACTGTGCGTCTCGATTGCCAGGACACACAGTCCTGATTCAGCTTTCTGAGAATTTGATTCCGGTGCCAAGGCATTTCCAGATCCGGAGCACTCAGCCGAATCATTCCTCCAAAAAGAAAAAAAGCAAAAAAAAGTGGGGTGGGGTGGGGGTCAGCTCTGCAGTGATGGCTCAGGGACCAAGGAGCCTACTTCTGAATGAGCCCCGTCCTCTGTGCATTGGCTTCTTCCCCGGGGAGCCACTGCTGTTCGCAGGCCGCCCTCCAACCACAGGTGTGCAGGGGGAAGCCGCCAATCACCGCACCTGGATGCTTTTTATTGCGTGAAGGGGTTGAAGCTTAGGGCTAAAAGGGGGAGTGAGATAGAAAGACATTTATGAAATATTTTAAAAGTAGGTTACAACACAGTTTGCTGTAGGTATTTTTGGAAGCAAAACCCTACCTATGCGTCTATTTAGATTGACAGGTATTTATCGAAAAAGGTTGGGGAGAACAGAGTAGCCACCTTTGGGTGGGATTATGGTGTTTTCTTTTTAGCTATATTTTCTACGACAAACAACGGTTGCTTTTGTAACAAAAACAAATATTGGGACAACCCATAATGTCAGCGGTTCCAGCTATTCATGAGTCTACTTCTTGGTGCTCCCAAAGCAGAAGGATGCAGGTCGGCACATGAAAAGGAAATCCAGCCCTTTGATGAAAGTGGATGAGATCCCAAGGGGCGTCTTGTCACTTCTGACAGATGCGCGGAGCTGCTTAAGGGGATGCAATCATATTGAACAAAAAAAGGGACGCTGCTTTTAAAGACGATGCTGCTTTTAAAAACAAGGGTGTCAAATGCTCCTGCATGTAATACTAGCAAAGGGACTGCCTCTCTCCTAGTTTCACGGAGCGGTTCTCAAAGTGCAGCCCCCAAACCAGCACCTTCGGTGCCACTTGGGAGCCTGTTAGAAATGTCCATCCTCAAGTCCCATCCAGGACCTTCTGACCCGGAAATGCTGGGGGCGGAGCCCAGCAGTCCGTATTTTGACATGTTTTCTGGTGATTCCGAGGCTCCCTTAGGTTTGAGAACCACAGGGTTTCAGGGACTGAAATGCTGTCTTGGGTTTGAGCTGGGCTGGGGGCTGTAAATTCACTTCGTCTGGTCTAACGCTTTGCCACTCAAATGTGCTCCACGGACCAGCGGCGGAAGAGTTGCCATGGAGACGGCAGAAATGCAGATTCTCATTGGAGGCCAGGGAATCAGGATCCACAGCCGCACACTCTGCATGTGACCCCCCCTCACGGATGTTGGAGAAGCAGAATTATGGCCCCTAGATGTTGTGCACCCTAATTGCCCTGATCCCTAAGGCTGTATCTTGAGAAATCCCACCTGTGAACATGGTACCTTACAGGGCAAAGGGGACTTGGCAGGAGTAAAGTTACCAACTAGAGGACCTGAAAGAGGGCGATTATCCCAGACTGTCTGGGTGGACCCGGTGTGATGACACGTGCCCTTAAAATCAGAGGTACCTTTGGGCACCTGCCATTCGGGCCCCTTGTGGGTGTGCACCGGGGGTGAACCAGGGCTCTCCGCACTCAGAACCGTGCGGCTGCACGGAACTGAAAGGTGGAGAAGCAGGATTCTTACTACCTCAGTTACCAGGAGGCTCTCCTGAGATCGAGTCTGTGGATTTGAGGGCTGATATCTTTCCTCTCCTTCTCTGACCCCTCACTGCTCTCCTAAAAAGATACCAAAACACATTCTTTTCTTTGGAAAAAAGTGCTAGGAGTGTCCCGAGGTGCTTTCCAGGCAGCGTAGGTGGGGGTCTATGCAGTGGTAAAAACGTGGGCAATGGGACCCCACGGTGCTGGGCCCCAGTCCTGGCTCCCCACCTACTAGCTCTGTGACCTGAGGGGAAAGTTACTCAGCTTCCTGGGCTCTGACTGTGTCCTCTGAAGTGGATCGGAACTACCTGCTTGGCCAGGTTGCCACGAGGATTAAAAGGATAATGCATCGCAGTCTGCTGTTAAGGAAAGGGCCAATATTTGGCCATATTTGAACTCCCAAAATAGCCATTTCCCATACTTCAAATTAATCTCTATTTTTCTAGATTCTAAAATATTATGGAACTAATGGCAGCTTCTAGGAAAAGAGAAAGAAACGTACTATAATAAACATACATGTCCATTTTTAAGACCCATTTCAGGCTGAGAAATTAAAAAAGATGAAAAGAGGCCGATCTTAGAATCAGGAGAATGTGGAATTGCTGTTACTTTCCAGGGCCACTGGCAGTGGGTTCTTTGTCGTAATCAATTTGTCCCAATGCTGGGGGGGGACCCCTGGTCAGCAGTGAGCCCTCTCTGCTGAGCACACTTGGAAAAGGTAAAGGTGGGCGGGTGGTGTGGCCCTCGAGGGTTCCCAGGAGGTCAGTGCTTAGCTCCAGGTCTGTCCACACCCTTGGGCTTGTGTAGAAGACGAAATTGAACACACCATGAACTTAAAATGCTCTGAAATCACCACCCATTTATTTTGATGTGTACTTCTATTTATGGCAATTATGAGGGCTTTCTATTCATGGTAGTAATATAATGTTTCCTTTCTAAATATGTTGAGGGGAAGGTAAGGTGGCTTATTAAAGAAAAATATTAATAAATAATAATGAGTGAAACTATCCTTTAGGAACGAAAGGGAAATCAGACATTCTCAGATGAAGGAAAACAGAGAATTTGGCACTAAAACTGCCCTAGAAGGGTGGCTGAAGGACGTTCTCTAAACAGAAAGGAAAGGATGAAAGAGGGAACCTTGGAACGTCAGGAAGGGGGAGCACGGGAAGCAAAAACAGGGACAAACGTAGTAGGCTTTTTGCCCCCTTGAGTTTCCCAATTATGTTTGGTGGTTCACGCAAAAATCCTAACACTGATGTGGTTCTAACTGTTCGGAGATGACATTCTTAGAGACGGTTAAATATGTCATAAAGGGGGAGGGCAAAGGGACCCCAAAAGAGGTAAGTTTCCATACTTCATTTGGTATTATGTATACATACTTCAGTATTATGTATGTATAATGTAATACGTTAACCAGCCACTAAAACTGCTATACAGTGAGACATACTGCAAACCATTGCAGACAAATAAAAAGGAATTTAAAAAAATGTTCAAGTACTCCAGAGGAAGGCAGGAAAAAGAAAAGAGAAAGACAGAAAGACCACATGGAAAACAGAAACTAAGATGGTAGACTTAAGCCCTAAAGTATCGATAAGTAAATTAAATATAAATGGTCTATAAATCCCAATGGAAAGACAGAGTTGGCAGGGTGGATAAAGAGCCCGACCACATGCTGTTCACAAGAAACTTCAAACAGAGCCATAGTGGCAAGTTGAAAAGAAATGGGTGGGAAAACATCACACAAACATTAATCAAAGGAAAGCAGGAGAGGCTGTCTTAATAATACTAGATTAAGGAGGCCCGAGAGCAAAGAGAATTAGCAGAAACGAGTGGGGCACGGCGTGACAGAAGGGTTAATCCGAGAAGACGCCGTGGTCCTACGTGGGCACGCCCCAACCACCAGAGCCGCAAAACACGTGAGTCAGAAACTGACGGGGCTGAAAGGGGGAAGAGACCAATCCAGCAACCACAGCTGGAGACCTTGACATCCCTCACCCCAATGACAGGCTCGCTGGACAGAACACCGTGGAATACGGAGGACCTCGGCCAAGAGGACGCTGCACAACTGCAGAACGCTCCGCTCAGTGAGAGCAGAAAACACATCTTTTCAAGTGCCCATGGAACCTCTACCAAGACAGGCCATCTTCTGGGCCATATAACAAATCGCAAATGTTTAAAAGGATTGATGTGATATAGAATGTGTTCTGTATCACACGGTGGAGTCAAACTAGAAATCAATAACAGAGCGAGAAGAGAAAAATTCCCCAAACACGTCGAAACTAAATAACACACTTTTAAACAGCCCGTAAGCCAAAAAAGCAAGCTTCAGGGGAAGTGAGACATTATCAAAAACCGCGGGACACAGGTAGAGTCGTTCTGAGTAGAAAATCTATAGTATCAAATGCATGCATAAGAAAAAGGAGAAGTTTCAAATCGATAATCTAGGCTTCTACCTCGACAACCTGGGAAAAGCAAAGCAAAATAAACCCACGGGGTCCGACCACAGCAATGTCACCCATGCTTGGGGAATGCCTGACTTCACTCAGCGGGAGGGAAATTGATTCCACCTTTTTTCCCCACTATGCCTGGTACACGTGATGTGTCATACCACATTTCACCAGTAGGGGTTGCCACTGAACCCCACCGCGCCCCATATAAGAACAAACGGCACTCTTGAATGTTTAAACGTACTGTCCTTACAGACAGCCCCTTCCAGAAAGAAGCTGCCCCTGTCTCATTCCTGGGTCCCCCTGGGCCGCAGCTCCTTGCCAGGGAGCAGGCCCTGGTGCATACATCCTGGCAAAGGCCCCTCCCTTCGTCCTTGCCCCCAGCTGCTGTTGTCTGAGCTGTTGTTGGCCGCTCTTGGAGGGTGGAGGCTTGGCCGGGCAGGAGGGACCCGGCTCGGTGCTGGCGACGCCCTACTTAGCCTGGGTGCTCACCACGCAGGTAGGTTTACCTCGTGAAAATTCATTTACTCCATAGTTACACTCTGGGCACTTTTCAGTATGTGTCGACCTTCAAACTAAAGTTTACTTAAAAAACCCATAGATTAGGTTTACTTAAAACACAGGAGGCTTCAGTAATTTCTGGAATTCCCACTATAGCCTGAAGAAAGGAGAAACCCCCCCCAAAACAACCAATAACCCCCAAACCATTTAGAACTGCAGACCCTGGGAACAGAACTAGGAATGTTTTTCACCACGGTGGTTTCTTGGGTAATTTCAGGTGAAAGCCTTTTTATTTATTTTCCAGTTGGGGGGTGAGGGGCAGGGAGCATTTGATTTTGAAGAGCTTCCAGCAGGGTTCACTCTAAATAGAATTGCCGAGCCTCATTACCGGAGGCCTGCACACCTGCTCCCATTCCGGCGCTCCGCGGGCCGCCCTCACGCAGGGATCCAGCCCGCAGGGGGCCTGAGACGCTGGGCTGAAGGAGCGGCGCTAATGAGAAGACCATGCGGCCTTGCTCTGCACCCCAGACAGGCGCTGCAGGCTCGGGAAGCAGGCAGGCCCATGCTCCCCGGCAAAGGCCGCTCCACGCTCCCCTCTTCCCGCTCCTGGGCAGCCCGTCGGCCCTGCGGGGCAGGGGAACACATGCTGCCTGCTGGGTTCGGAGGCCTGTTTCCTCTGAGAGTTCCCAGGCTCCGTTGTCTTAGAGGGGCCCCAGAGTCCGCCCTAAGGCTGCTTGTGAGGTTTACACTAGTTAATTCCTATAAGGTGCTTAGAATAGTGCCAGGCATTTGGTAAATAAGAAACTACATATTTTACCTTTAAAAAACCCTCATTTTTGTCTCAAGACAGTCCATTACAAAGAGGGTTCCTGCGAGTTTGGGGACATAAGACGGCCTCCGTGATTTAGGCTCTTCAAGATTCTGTGGGAGAGAAACTGGGAGGATCCCATGTTCTCCTGCAGGGAGGAGCTGGCACTCAGCCGGCTACACGCGGTGCTCGCAGGCTCCCAGGGGCCTGGGCTGCCCTGCGCTGTTGAGGGGATGGTTTCAACGGAACAGCCCGAGAAAAAAATGGAGGTGCCACGCCCCCTGGTGAGGGCCTCCTAATGATAGGGATTAGAAGGCACTCACTCAGTGGCAGGGACGCTGTGAAAGGCATGGACTCATTTTATCTTCACAACCAGCCCAATACAATCATTGCCCCCATTTTCAGCTGTGGAAACTGAGGCAGAGAGAACTTATGTAACTTGACCAGGTCATAAGGCAAGTTAAGTGGCAGGGCCAGGCTTGAACCCCAGCAGTTTGGCTCCAGAGCCCATGCCTTCAACCACTGGGCTACCCAGTCCCCTGTGGCCCCCTGAGAAACCTTGGGGTGTGTGCTGGTTGGTGCCCAAACTCCTTAAAGCCTCTCAGGCAGGCTGGTTCCCTCTGCTGCTTCCATGGCCACGGTGGTGGGGCGCCTGTCACCCCTCCCCCTGACCTGGGCTCTCCACCCCATGGCTGGCTGGGGGGTGAGCACACCACAGCTGTCCATTCTCAAAGTTCTCCACGCACGCACACACACACACAACACACACACACACACAATGCCACATGACCCACTGGCGGGTACTGGGTGTCTGTATGGTACACCAAACAAGTGACCCCAAGGAGATTTTTAAGAACTGATCACACCATAGCCCAAGGGCTGGACTGGTTTTTGGAGGGGCTGCACCATTTCCCTGTGGCTGTGAATACAGGTGTCAACAGGAATTAGGGGGCCTGTGGGGAAGGGGTGAGTCTCAAGGGGTCGGCACTGGGCTCACCGGATCCTCTGTACCTGAAAACCCTCCCCCAGGGCCTGGTTTCCAGGAACCTGTAGCCCATTCTTCTAGGGCGCTGCACCGGTGTCTCTCTTCCAGCTGGAATCCTATCTGTCCGTCAGGCCTGCCCAAGCCTCAGCACCTCCATGATGCCTTCCCTGACCGGCTCGCACCTCTCAGAGCCTGTGCCACCGAATCTGACGTTGTTTCACAAACTACCTCCCACGCCCTTGGGGCACACCTGCTGCTGTGGCCTCACCAGCTTCTGTGCAGATTCTCGGTGCTAGAAGATGTCTCACTACTTTACCCATGTGCCCAAGCACCCTGGAACATAACAGGTGCTCAGCAAAACAGCTGCCCCACAAATGACAGCACAAATCATTAGCCAGTTGGGGTGCACAAGCCAGCAGTGGTTGTGACCACAGGGATCTGCCCGAATGGTAGGATCAGGGTAAGGGACCCGTGAGCTGGGGCGCCTCCAGCCTAGCTCTCTGCCGATGGCCCAACGGCTTTAAACCCCTCGTACCTTGCTTGCTTTCAAGATCTCAAACATCAGGGGCAGGCCTTGGGTAATGAGCTCCTCTGTGTACTCTTCCTCCTGAATGGTCTTGAACTCCTTTAACAGGCACTGGATGAGAGGCCTGCGGTGTTGCTGGAAGGCGATCCGAAGAGACTCCAGCCACGTGTGCAGGGTCCATGGGACACCTGGGGGTGGGGGAGGGATGGGGGAGGGGAGAGGGAAGGGCAGGGCAGAGAACAACCAAAAGAACAGGCATGTTTTTATCTAAAACTTGGCCTCTTCCCAGGACATTACCAAATTATGAGACCAAGAGACAGATGTTCCATGAATAAAGCCAGTGTTGGTTCCCCCCCTCCCCCCCTGGGGACTTGCAGGAGTTGAAATTAAAGGTCATAATTCAATTCCCTTAAGTACGGGTATCCATTTCTTCATGCTACTCATATTATTAGGGGCTGTATTTTACAACCTATAATCATGGTGTAGAATATTGGAATTATTAGGCACACCACTTAGGCTGATGATATACTTCTCAGTGCTGACTTCATTTGTCTCCATCCCCTCTGCTTTCTGGGGCGGGAGAAGCTCAGGGAGGGGCAGAGTCTTGCCCAGGATTGGGTACCACATCCAAGCCCGGAGGAGAGCTGGTGAAACTCACCAGGGAGCGTCACCACCTACTACTCGGGCTAAGATGGAAACTGACAACTGCATAAGGAGACATGGAGGATATTGCTGCTGTTCCCCTGTGCAAACCACTTCCATCTGCAAGCACTTCATCAGGTCTTCCTCCTGTACTGCCAAGCTCTCCAGCAGCTGATTGCTTTTGGAAAGCTGTGCTCCCCTCTCCGGGTGAGGCAGGCGAGAAAACGCAGGCACATCACTACTGTATGTGACGAGCTGACCTATCAGAGTCTCGGGCTGCGTCACCATGCTAAACAGGCTTTCAGGGCCACCACGTAAACCTCCCACTCACTGAACAGCCACTCCCCGAGCGGCCCGTTTCCGGAACAGCGTCAGGGGGCCCCACTGCAGGCCCTCCATCTACTTCAACCGGCCACACCCTGTGTTTAAGGCCCACGCTAACTCCCTCTGTTTCCATGCTGGGCTAATGAATGCCACTAGACTGGGGATGGCCCGGCTTCCCTGGATGCACGGAGGAGATGGCTGGGGGCTACACTCAGGGAAGAGCCACCCCAAACTTTTCCGAAGAGTGGCCGTGTGCCCTGAAGCTCAGTGGGTGGAGCCCTGGTAAGGAAGGCAGGTCCTCACCCCAGCCGCTGCCCGGCCACAGCTTCCATGGATCTGGGTGCTCTGAGCAGTTCCCGACCACTGGGAATCGCCTGGGATGATTGTTAAATATAAAGATTTCCAGCCTTTACCCATCCAGACCCTCGACAGCAGAGCTTCTGGGTGTAGGGCCTGGCAATGTGTATTCAGACGAGCTCCCAGGTGATTCAAATCCCTCACTCCCTAGGGTCCAGAGGGATTTGGAAATCATGGAAAGATGTCTTGAGGATGGGGCTTTGGGGCTGGCAGGGTGCTGCGGTCAGTGGGGACAGGGTGGGTGTCTCAGCAAGGAAGTGCTCCAACCAGCAAACCAGAGGGTCCATGCAGGGGTGGGGTGGTGGTGTATGTGTGTGTGTGTGTGTGTGTGTGTGTGTGTGTGTGTGACCTGGAGCCAGGCAGTGGTGCCGTGCCCAGTGGCAGAAGTTGCCCCGACTGACCTATGCTCCTGATGTCAATTGTGACATCCACGTAGCCATGCTCAGCGCTGTGATACATGGCCTCTCTCAGGGCTCTCAGTTTGGCCTTGCTGTTGCGGCTGGCGCACAGGGGGGGCGGGGCTGTCTCTGCCAGGTCAGTCCCCTCAGCCAGAATCTCCTCCAGGGACAGGATATCACTCTTCTCCTTCTCTGGCTGAGCGAGCAGTTTGCGGAACACATTCCTGTCAATCATAAACCCAGATAGGAAGACACTCAGAGAGGGAAGGGCTTTGCCAGGGCAGGGACGCAGCTGGGGAACCACTCACTTGGGACAAGGGAATGTGCGGGGACCAACTCCAGGGTGGTGGCTTCAGAGTCCTGACCATGGGCGTCATGTTCTGGGGATGGAGCAGCTGGTGGGACGGGAGCTAGTGGGGAAGGCCTTCTTCAAGGACAACTGGGAGCTGAGTGTGTTCCTGAAATATCTAGAAGGCTCCAGAACTCTGCACTCCCCGCAGTGAATCTGCTTTACTTGGGGTGATGTATAATATAACCCGATGGGTTAAATTATCCTGAAGGAATGGTAGGTGAGAAGTCAACAAGAGGCGATTTACTAAGGTGGGTTCTCCTCACCTCACTTCAGAAAGGGGATGTAGTCCGACCCACACGGGCCGAGCGTGAGCTCTGTGTGGGGAAAGCTGGCTGGGAAGGGACAGAACGAGCCAGTCTGCGTAGACATGTGCCGCAGGAAGCTGGCTCTCAGCAGAGGGCTGGCAGCAAGGGCCACTGGCCGGGCTGGGGCCCGCACTGCCTCTGGGCCCCACACCCAGAGAGGCAGCGGGTCTGGGGTAGGCCTGGGAATCTGCATTTTTAACAAGCACCCCTTGGGACCTTGTGGCTCTGGCCCATCCTAGCCTACCTGTGTCCGTGGGCCGCGGCCTGGCTGAAAGAGTTCATATCCCCCTGGGGGGTTGTAGAAATTCCATTCCTGTACATGGTTCCTATCAGGGGGTCCGCACCACGCTCCAACAGCAAACTAACCAGCTCAAAATTGCCTGCAAGCCCAGAGAAGGGGTTTCATAAGGGAATAAAGCAAAGACACGGTCACAGACACATCAAAGGCCGGGGTGGTGGAGACCCTTGGCCAGGGCGGGAGTCGGCGACCCTTACCTACGGCGGCTGCGAGCTGCAGGGGTGTTTCCGAGTAGTTCTCCTCGCCATGCTCCACGGAGCCTTCCACCTTGGCCCCGGCGTCCAGGAGGAGCTGTGGAGGAAGACGGCCGTGGACATGTTTAAAGGACACGCATGGTGAGGAGGCGTCAGAAAGACCAGTGGAACTCAGGGCACGGCCCATGTTCCTGCTCTCATCTGGGTCAGTGACCGCGAGCGCGCACAGGGGGCGGGCAACTGTACCTCGAGGATGAACTAGGACTTTCTGGTAGCTTCTAGAACCTGAGACTACTCAAAGTGGGGTCCAAGATCAGCAGCAGCGTCATCTGGGAGCCTGTCGCAGACATTGGCTCTTTACATGGACATTTCTGGAAGCACTGAGATACAACCAGAGTGGTGGAAGGCTCCCTTTTTGGGTCAGAGAGCACTTCTGTGGTTGCTTAGAACCACAGAATCAATAGTTCTGAAGGACGGTGGAGACCACCTGGGCCAGCCAGGGCAAGAGCCCCTTCTAGAGTGCCCTGGATAGCTCTGAGGACAGGTCAGCACATGCCAGGTTCCTGGCCAGTGGGATCAATGAATAAGTGGCAGAATGAGCTTCTACTGTGAGTTCTGCTTTGCAGGACAGAATTCCGTGCATTGTCTAAGATATCTGGGCTTCTTAAAAACCGAGATTCTGTCCATGCCAGATCTCACGCACAGTGAGTGTGCTACTGCTGATTCGGAATGCGGTGGGGTGGGGGGAAGCCTGCTTTCTTCATCACCACGGGCTCCCTGAGGGCACAGCCAGGAGGGGCTGCCTCCTTGACATTCCACGACTCGTGCACCTGCAGTGGAGCGGGGACCTGGCATCTGGTTGCTTTTGCTTGGCTGCCCCCTGGTCCTATTTCTGATCTAAAGGCTGGCGATGCTACTGCATGTTAATGGATGGCATCTGTGTCTGCCAGGCCCGCCCTGGGACCCCTCCCTTTCTTAGATTCCTTTATTAGGAGTGGGCTGGGCATGACGCTGTGTGCAGAAGCCAGGTCTCAGGGGGACACATCACATACTCGGCTTCCTGAAACATGACTTTGGATCTGTCTTCAGGGTTCCCACAGCCTAGGAGACAACAGAGGACTCCTGCGGAACTCCAGCGGGCCCTCTCACACTATTCCCTGCTCGGCATTGATTCTCCGAGGTTTGAGCACATAAAAGGACGTGAGCTCCCAGTGTTCCCAAAGCTCATCACTCACTATGGGGGGGTCAAGTGTGGTCACAGACCTGGATGCTGATCTCTCTTTTCTGATGGAGGAAAGACTGTGTTCAAGATCTGGAATGTTCTGGATGGCTAGTCACTGAACATCATTTCTACCACAGCCAGAAAAGGTGCAAGCAACACACACGTCTATGCCCAAAGGACCTCGGACGAGGATGTCTCTCCGGTGCTGGGGGAGCTGTTTCAGAAGACACGTGTGAAGGCCCTGTTCTAGATCCCCTGGATCTGACTCTTAAGAAGTGGTACCCAAGCCAATGTCTTTTGGAACTGTTGCCTTGGTGACTTGGATGCTTCGCTCCACTGGTTGGAAACCACCACTCTACACAAACACCAGCGGCACACCTGAGGAGAGGTTCTAAGGTCTCGCACCGGCCAAGCTTTATGTTCATGTTATGATATATAAAATGGACCAATCCGCAAAACCACAGCTCAGACCCCACCCCCGAGCAACTGGGAACAACTCCGTAGGTTGGCCACTGTGTGTGTGGGGCTGCTTGAGGGTGTGTGGTAATTTCATATTGGTTAAAGCCAGGCCATATAGATCATTACATACAATAGTTCCATTTGTATGACATGAATGTGCTATATTTAATTGTAATTAACCAATATGAATGTCTTAGCAAATATGCATGCTGGGAGAGGTAGAGATTTGCATAATGGAAGAGGTAAAAGTAAAGGTCAGGTGTGGATAGGGAAATACATTAATACCTGAACTACAGGAATATGTCCATGCAACACAGCAAAAGTCAGAGCCGTCCAATGGCGGGTCTCAGGGTGGACGGATGGATATTTATGAGGAGTACTGACAACCTATAAACAAATTGAAGTTATTTTCAAAATGTGACCTTCACAATCCTTAGACTAGCAAAGCCGACCTATCTGTGGCTAGGCACGTGGTCTAAAGATGTACAAAGGTGCCTTGGGAAATGTTGGTGATGGGCAGTGAAGAGTAAGGATGCCTTTTCTTCTCATCCAAAAGCAGTTAAATGGATGACTTCATCTGACCACCTCTATGGTGCCTTGGAGAAGCTCATAGTGGCTACTATGAGCCAGCTCACCTGCCTGTCTCCTCTTTCTGCTTAAGGAAAGGCGGTGGTTCTGAGAACTCCAGGACGTCAGGCAGCGTGAGATGCCTCTGCCATTACACCCGCAGCTATATGGGACATTCTTGGTGGCAGCAAACCCCAGGCAAGGGGAGGTCTGCGTCAAGCTTTTGAGCCAGGGAAGACCACCACCATCTGGTCACAGCTGTCCTATTTCATTCTTCTGCTGGCTTCCCGGTTGACAAAGACCCTCAGGTTTCTGGAAACTGGGCATAAAAAACTTCCCTGGAAACAACACGAATAAGCAATCTGATACTGGTCTTCTGCTATGGGGGCCTCAAAACTGCCCTGGCCAAGAGAGAGGCGGCTGCACGGCTGGTGGTTGGGATCCTGCAGGGTTGGACCCACACATGGTTCTTCTCCCAGACATTCCTGGGGCTGTATCACTGCGATGCCTATTCATTCAGAGCAGTTGACTCACTCATTGCCTGCTGGGGGAAGTCTTGGACTAGGAGCCATGAGGGGGGGCTAGGGAGGACCTAAGAATGCCACCAGGACCCAAAGCTGAGGAGCTCTTATAGGGTCTGCGTGGTTTTTAGGGGAAAACATAATGCAGGGAAATCCTTGATACCTGAAACTTGTAGGATCAAAAATGGTTATAGATCCCAAACTATGTCTATTGCCTGCTTTCCTCAGATGAATCTAAAACCCCCGAAACCAAACAAAAAAGCCCCCCCCCCATAATCCACAGCACTGAAACTACAAGAGCATCCAATTTTGGACTAAAAAGGTTTCCCAGGGTTGCTGAGTTAGGACTGTAGTGTGCCAATCTTCCCATCTCCGAGGCTGGCAATATCCAGCTGCCAGAGAGAGTGGGTCTAAACACAGCATAGAACGTGGTCAGAAAAGTGTGGTTCACCTATCACAAGCCTTGGCAGGGAGGAAACCAATGTTACCGGAGCCTCAAACTTATGCTAGGTCCTCTCTGTATTTATTTCTTCCAACAACTCTCTGAGGGGGGTGTGATCATTCTCCCATTTTGCAGATGGGGACGGGCACCGGGGCCCAGAAAGGTTAAACCACTTGCCCAAGCACAAAAGCAAGTCACTAAGATGCAGATACTGACAGAATTGGAGCGCCAGTGTCAAATTCTAAAGCCTGTGGGGGACAGCTTTCTACTATAGCACAGCCTCAAGGAAGCTTAGGGTTAAGACCTGTGGCTTCAACTCAGCCAGTCAGGTGAGCCAATCAGGATTTGGTGGGGGGAGGGGGAGCCACGCCTTAGCTCTGGGGACAGGTCCAGCTTTGCCTTGTGCAGAGGGAAAAGGGCTGATGGCTCAGAAGAGCTCCCTCTGCTTTGATCCCAGAGGGGTGGACCAGCAGTCAGAGTCAGAGACTATGTACAACTGAGCCAAAGAAATGCTGGTGTGTTTTTGGTTGTTTCCAAGTGAAACACACATGCTAGCAACTCCCTGCGGTTTGGTGGGGGCAGGGCCTCAGGATGGAGGAGACCCATCAGCTGGTCTGACTGACTTGCTGGACTGAGCGCCCTGCCCTTGGCAGCGGCTCTCAGGAGAAAAAGCCCCCCTCTCTTTGCTTGCCTTCCCCTGGGGACTGCCAGGCCAAGGGGCCCTGCAGCCCTCTGCACCCTCACCTCCACATTCAGGTCAGCTCCGGCATCCAGCAGCATCTGAACCATCGCCTCGTCCCCACGGACGCAGGCGTACATCAGGGGGGTCATGCCCTGCGGTGAGTTAGAAACCAGAGAACGGAGAAGGTTTACCAGGTGGCTGTATCACTTGAGGATAACAAACGGAAAATCCTACTTTTGTTTAGGAGGCTATGTTTGTAGTCAAAATCCAGCATTAAAAAAAAAAGCGGCCCTATGACTCATAAGGTTACGATCCTCCATATTTCAAAACCAACATGGAGGCCAAGAGGAGACCGTTTATCGTTGATCTGTTTTGCATTTATTGTTGCTTAGGTTGGAGGATTTTTGTTTGCCTGTCTTAGGGTGCAATAGACCTAAGAGTGTTTGCTAAAGCAAATGGTTGATTTCAGCTTACAGCTCTTAGGAACTTTCTGGATTCTGCAACATCAGCCCCTAAGCTACCTAATTGACAAACACCGTTGCCTTGACATCTCTCATCCTCAATATAACCAGTGTCCTCTTCACTCTGAACGAGATGCTGGTCGGTGTCAAGGGGAACAGGAGCCTCTGAGCATAACACCCCCATCGCAGACATCTGCTTTGACGTTATCGTGTACAAGCAAAAGGCAAGCAAATGAGGAACGGCTTTCAAACATTCCACATTTGCCCACGACTCCTGCTCATCACAAACAAAGTACCACAACCAATAGAAGGTGGGGATGGATTTTTCAATAAAGAGCGTTATGAAGGTGGCAATTGGGGGAAATGGTCAAGTACAAAGGGCCTGATCTTGCACCATCTACTAAAATCATTTCTAGTTTGATTAGAGATATGGAGACAAAATTAAAAACATAGAAGACATCTAGGGGCAAAAGTAATAAAAGAAATCACAAAGGAAAATCATCACAGCATTAAGGACATAACATTGAAAACAAACAAAATTCAAAGGTAAGCAATAAATTGAGACATATTTGTCACATCACAATAAAGAGATATTTGTCACATTATGTGCCTAATGTGTAAAGAGCCCTTCTAAGTAAACAAGAAAGACAGTAAAGGTCCAATGAAAAACCGGCAGTAAGTAAAAGCTTAACTAATAGGGAGCACATATATAGTTGGAGGGTGTATAAGGAAACCAGGTCTCTGAAAAAGTGATAGAGATCAAAAACCATAAGACAGGTTGATGACTTTGAGCCACTTTTAAGAATTTCCCCCAATGAAATAATTAGGGATTTGAACAAAGATTTGTGTAAGTTTAGTTAGCTTAGCATTAGTGACATAAGTAATTATAAACAACGTAAAATATTCAGCAACTAAGGTGTGGTTGACTGAATAAATAATATGACCATTTTAAGTAGCCATTAAAAGGGATTAAAAATATTTAATAGCCCTGGCAGGTGTGGCTTGGTGGATTGAGTGCCGCCAGCCTGTGAATCAAAGAGTCGTTGGTTCAATTCCCAGTCAGGGCACATGCCTGGGTTGCAGGCCAGGTCCCCAGCTGGGGGTGTATGAGAGGCAACCACACACTGATGTTTCTCTACGTCTTTTTTTCCCTCCCTTCCCCTCTCTTTAGAAGTGAGTGAATGGAATCTTTAAAGAAATTTAATAACATTACAAATTATCTTTATATAAAACACTAAAAACAAGATATAATACATTCCTGTTTTTTTATAAAAAGATAGTACAAATTGTGTGTGTGTGTGTGTGTGTGTGTGTGTGTGTGTGTGTGTGTGTATCAGGGCTCAGGGTATTGCTCAAGAAAATCAGTGGCTGCTACTCCTCCCTGGCTGGATGAACTGCTCCCTGGCTGGAGCTGGCTGCAGGAACTGCTCCGTCTGGCCCTTGTGACCTTCCTTGTGGGGCTCACAGTGACGGCGTCTCCCTGACTGGCAGCCCCACATTGCCTTTCACTGCTCCTCAGGGTCAGGGGGTTGGGGGACAGAGGCCTCTCTCTGAGGTTCCTCCTAGGGTCTCCCAGAAGGCCTTTTGTGTTTCTTAAGCACACCCTGAAAGTTTGGTGAAAATCTGCCTTGACTTGTTCTGTGACTCAGTAACAGGCCAGCAGAGAACTAATTTTAACCGCGCTGGAAAAAGAACATGAAGGACACATACTAAAAATAAACATGATGGTTATCCGGGTGATGGCATTATTTACTTTCTGGAATAGGCCTGTTTTTCTCTATTTTCCATGTCAGCTGCAACGATCACGTGCAACTTCTATAAAAATGAACAAGGGTATTTTTATTTTAAAAACTAAAACAACAAAAAAAGGGCAAAAAGAAACAACAAAAAAGAGCACTCTACATCACCAGTAGGGGGCGCCTCTGTCCAGTGCCTGCTGTTTCTATCTAGCCATGGGCCTGGGCTGATGGTGAAGGTGGGGGTGTGAGTTCAGACACTCAGAGGACCCCGTACCTGTTCGCTCATGGTGTTGATCCCATCGGGCCCCAGGAGAGATACCGCCTGCTTCACCAGATCTGTCCTCCCGCAGTTCAGCATCCGGAAACCCAGGTCCTGCTTAAACTTGGCTTCGATGGCCACTGCGTCCAGCTTCCGAGAAGCGAAAAAGCAGTCGTCAGCCCTAAGGAGGGAGAGATGGTCAGCAGCTTCCTCAGAGACTGCCCAGCAAGGCTGCAAAGAGTTAGGTAGCACCAGGAAACTTCGCTTTTAATGGCCACTGCCTGTTCCTAGACTTCAGTGAAAGTTGGATGTCTTGACCGTTTGTCCTTCATATCTGCCACAGGTCTGTCCTGACCCCCATTCCCACAGCGTGCTGAGCAAAGCATCAGACTGGCTAATACTTACTGAATGTTTCCCAGGGGCTAGGCACCATGCTAAACTCTTTACATGAAGTAATTCATTCAATCCCACACAACCCCAAGAATTGAGTACTATTATTACCTCTCTCTTAACCATGGGGGAGCAGACACAGATAAAGGACTTGCCAGAGGCCACACAGCCAGCAAGCAGTGGGCGAACTGTGGCAGTCTGGAGAGCCGATCTGGGCATCCACTGTGTCACCCTGTGCCCCTGTCGCAGTGAGAGGTTAGGGAAGGGTGGAGAGAAAAATCAGTGGGTTCCAGAAGGTGACGCAAACTCTGCTTGTTTGGCATGTTACTTGCGCCTCACAATGAAATCAATCACTTACTGAGTCAAATCTCCAGGCATTTTATTGAGCAGCTGTTTGTGACAAGCTCTGCTCTCAGTGCTGAAGACACAAAGCTAAACATGTCATTGTCCCCGGCCTGGAAGGGGAGAGAGGGCAAAGCACTGGCCGCTATGACCCCATGTGGTGACTGCAGTGACTGAGAGATTGGAGACATGCACCAAATAGAGCCTAGGGAATACAGCAAGGCTTCCTGGGGGAGGTGACCCCTGAGCTGTGCCTTAAAAACGGAGATGATGGGAGAGAGGGCGGAAGAATGTGAGCAGGGCTGGCGTCAGCAGAAGTATGGAGTTGAGACCCGGCAGGTGGAGTGGGGATAACGATGAAGGTGTCAGTGTTTCTGGAGCCCGTACCTGCAGGCAGAGTGCTGGAGCGGAGAGCGGGGCTGGACAACGGAGGAGCCTGACTCAAGTTTTAAGGCTCCGGACTTCACCCTTAAATGCCATGGGAGATTTTTAAGCAGGCAGGGGACTGCGATGGTCGGATGCCCAACTCTGGGAGGGAGTGGAGGGTGGGTTTGTGGGAGCCACCCCCAGAGGCTGGAGCCATGTTAGCGCTAATGGACCAGCTGAGTGGATGGAGGAAGCCACCGATGACAAAGAGAAGTGACAAGGGCCTGACTGAAGGTTGTGGTGGCCGAGACGGAGCAGAGGTCGTGGGTTCTGACTTCTCTACATGCAGGTGCCCATTTCTCAGCTCATGGCCCCGAGGCCAGGGAACCACACGCCCGCATCAGCATCGCCGACTGTGACAGTCGGTGCTGTTGCAGGCCCCTGCCCATCTCTCCTCCTGCTGATTCAGACTGGAAACCGAGGGAGAGCCGGGAGTTCGGCATTCCTATCTCTGTTGTCGCCTCTGATGAACCCGCTTGGAAGGATTAGACTTACATGTGCAGGAATTACCTTCTGTTTTATCCTTGGAGGAAATGATAGGGGCTATTCTAGAACGTTTAAGGTACTAAGATGTGCTGCTCAGCAGTAGGGCTAGGATCTGGGGAGAGCATGGAGGGGTGAACCAAGAACAGACTCAGGAAGTAGGTGGAATGTGTATGTACTTGACCCTTCACTGGGTTCCGGATACATCATTCTTCTCTGCCTACGGAGGGGCCTTGGCCCAAGGCTGTCCTGTAATAGGAACCCCATGGTAGATAGGATACGTCAGGCTCTCAATAGGAGACACTAGGCGTTTGCTTCTGGCCAGGAGGGGGAGCTGACGCAGCGAAGATACCGAAGATACCGTCCTGAGAACCCTGAACTTGGTGTTGATAGAGGTCTAGTCTGCCTGCGAGCTTCAGGAACTGCTGTCGAGTCAGCCTCTCAGGGCCCACGTGTATGAGAGCCCAGGAAAGAACTAAGTAAGGTACCTCGGGGTCCCTAGTTTACCGGGACTCTCAAGTCCAAGATTAGAGATGGCCCCAGCGTTGCTGGAAAACTCTCCAGGGAAGACTGAGAGTTCCCCAGTGGTGGGGGAGGGCAGAGGGGCTCTGGGCACCAGCATCCAAGGTTAGAGCTTCTGGGGCATAGAATGGGGCTGTGAAATCAATGGGGAGCAGAGATGCTATGAATTGTCACTGTCACTGAGTTTGCAATGTCCTATTTCTGTCTGCTAGCTTCAATGCTTGATTGATTCTCTCAATGAAGCATGTTTTTTTCTGGAGTCACGCTGAATTCCACGTGACTAGATAAATGTTACCAAGCACCTACTGTGTGTGGACACCATGCAAGGGGGCCAGGAGGAGGGAGACGCAGACCCGACTGACCCTGTGTTCCCTGAGCTCCCAGACTGCTGAACAGATAATTCCCGGGACATCCATCAGGAGAAGTGTGTGCCAGAGACAGAGATCCTTGATTTTAATTAGAAAGAGACAAATGGCAGGAAGATTACTGTAGCTAAGATGATGATGATGATGATAAAAATTGTTGTAGGAAGCTAACATTTATTGAAGACGTACTATGGAAATCTAAGCTCTTTCCATGTATTAATTCGTATGATTTTTACAACAAGCCCACAATGTAGGTGTGAGTAGGAGCCCCAGCCCAGAGATGAGGAAATTTCCCATGTCACCGAGCTGCTAGGCAGCAAGTCAGGATTTCACCCGGCAGAACTGACCCCTCTCAGTGGGTGGGACCTGGCTCTTCTGGGTGGGCGGGTGTGCCCCCACAGGCAACTGCCTGACTCCAGCGCATGTCCTTGGTGTCTCCCAGACCCTCACATTCAGTACGTCCATAGTGGAACTTTTTACTAACACATCCACCTCTCTCCCAACTTGTCCCCCAGCCATCCCATCTCCATAAATGGCACCACTGTCCCCTCCCCCAAACCCCAGGTGCTCAGGCCAGACCTTCTCTCACACCCTTACCCATTCCATCAGCTGTTGCTTTTGCCACCCAAATCCCCCATTCCAAATCCATCCACCTCTCTCCACCCCCTAGGGCCGGACCCTGGCTCCAAACGCCAGCATCTTTTGCCTAGATGACTACAGTCCTAACTGGTCTTCCTGCTGTCACTCTCCTCGCCTTCCCAAGCGGTTTCTTAAACAAGGGAAGAGTAAGCTTAAAATATAGATAGGGCCATGCTCTGCCCCTGCTCGAAACCTCCTAATGCCGTCCTGTGTACGGAGAATAGCTCCCCATGCAGGGCCTGGAGGGCCCCGCCCTGCCCTCCAGCCCCTCCCTTCCTCCCTCCCTCTTCTGTCCCTTCAACAGGCCAAGATCTTTCCTGCCTTGAGGACTTAGCTCCTGCTATTCCCCCTCCTTGGAATGCCCTTCCCCTATCTGCAGGGCTGGCTTCTTCTCACCCTTCAAGTATGAGCTTCAATGTCAGGTCCAGAGGAGGGCTTCTCTGACCAGTGCATGTGAAGGAGGTGCACTCCTCTCCCTTGCCAGGCCCATCTCCAGGCCCCTTTCCCCCTTCCCCTGGTTAGCACCTTCCGGTGCCTGTCCTTGTGCCGGGGGCACACAGCAGTAAGTGATGGGAGAGCCATGCACACCACCCACCATTCATTCTTGAGGCCCCGGGAAACATCTGTCTATCGAGAATCCCTCAGTCATGGTCCTCGTTACTGAACTTTACCAGCCAAGGGAGGCAAACAGAGAAGCAGGTAAGAAACATTTTCCATAAACCATGGCTTTATGTCCAACCGGGCTTGTGAGAAAACTGACCTCCGCAAACATCCTAATTCCTGCAGCATTCCTGTAAACACAACTCAGAGCTTCGTTTGCTAGTTCTGGAGCGTCTCTGAAGGGTCTGCCACTGAGGACCAACAAGTCCCCCGTGGCCTGGACAAATGACAGAGCCTCCTAAGTGCAGGGCTTACTTATGCAGAAATCTATTAAGCCAGCTCCCTGGGGCTTCATTAGAAGGCGGTCACCTCAGTGGCTTTCCCTTCAAGCGGCTTTCAGAGATGCCATAAAAAAAACCGGGTCAATTTCAGTAAGAGGTCAGCCCCTGAGGTGGTCAGTTCCTCTGATTTCTCAAGGGCCCCAGCCCTGAGACCGGCTCAAAGCTTCCACCAGTTCGGGAACGTGACTTCAGAAAGATGTTTTCCAGGAGGCCCACGGCCCGAGCACAGAGAGGGACACGCTGCCTCCCCAAGGAGGAGCTGGCGTGGCTGCGGGGGCCGACGCACTCTGCCCATCTGTCGTTGCACGCGCTGAGCGCCGATGGCGAGCTGGCCAGGCTCCCCGCACATTTTACTCACTTGTTCATTTTTAAAGCTAGCATAGAAGTTATGAGCACGCATCTCTGGTTCCCGGCTCTGCTATTTCGCGGCTTTGTGATTTCTTAGGGCAAGTGACTTAACCTCTCTGTTGTCGAGTTCTCTCGTCTGTAAAATGAGTTTCGTCACAAAACTTTCCTGCTAAGATGGTGGGTACGGATTAAATGAGATAATCCGTGTCCAGCGCTTAGAAGAGTACGGAATTTAGCACACGGCTCTCAGTCGACGTGAGAGATTCCGTACCACAACCTTTATGAACTACAAAGCTGGGTGCACACTGTTTGGACAGAATATACTCTGTTTGAAAGAAGCAAATACGGAGACACAGAGACTAAGCAACAGTACAGTGCCTGGCCAGTGTAGCTCAGTCGGGTGGGCATCATTCCACAAAATGAAAGGTCACCGTTCAAGTCCTGGTGAGGCCACACGCCTGGGTTGCGGGCTCTGTCCCCAGGTGGGGTGCATACAAGAGGCAACCAACCCATTAATGTGTCTCTCTCACATCGTTTCCCTCCCTCTTGCTCCCTCTCCTCCCCTCTCTCTAAAATGAATAAAAGAAAAGAACTAAAAACAAACGAACATTGCAGTAAAAGCACTTCTTAAGACCTCCGATTGGACGCCATGTCTAACACGCCCCACCAGGGGAAAGGCAGGTCTTCTCCCCGTGGGAGACCCGGGTCCTCAGCGGGCTTTGCCA